CTGGGGGATATTGATATCCCCAACACATCATACCTCAAAAAAGTACATGAGGCGGCGATTCCAGTCATGGAGATATCAGCTTCATGCATGTTATAACACGGCTACTGGCTTCAGTATTTATGCGACGCCTAACCCCGGTACGTGAGACGCATTTCCGAGAGCAAAAAGCAGGGTTTCGCCCGGCTAGGGGATGCATGGACCATATCTTCACGTAATGTCAAACTTTTGAGTAGCGCTGTCCATGCCGCAGACCAGTAATTTCTGTTTTACTCGACTTCAAATAATTCCTTGACTCATTTAAGTCGGTTTCTGTGCATAAAGTCGACCAACTTTGTAGACAGTGCGTACTCCGTATTGTCGCATGTTTGAGCCTTTAAGAACTGTCCCAAATCTTCCGACAACCAGTGGGTTTTGGTATTCTTCCCTTTCCCCTTTCTATTTGATTTTATAATCCGGACCGTATGTATGCATGTTCCAAAGGATCAAGAGTCCTGGAATCGAATTTACATCTAGGGAGAGACTAGTAGACTTGGACAATGTGAGTGACCCACTCTTCTTATCTAACTCATCAGTACGCGCGGGCTACTCTGTGTACAGTTTGGGATTCTATCCTTTGCTGTGGTTTGCGTTTTGGGTCTTCAGCGTGCTTATTACTCGAGATAGCTCAGTGGTCAAGGCTCGAACTTACTGACCAGAAGGTCCTTGTTTCAAATCCAAGTTCTGCATTTCGACAGCTCCTCTCTGGGCTTGGATGGCGTGGCAGCCAGGCACCGATTGGGTGTTACAACTGAAATGCTATGTTTATTTTTTGTTAGGGTTTTGAGCCCCAAATGTCCCTCTAAAACTTCAGGGAGAGGGACTTGAGTTTGTTTACCGGTTCACTTATCTGGGCGGCTTCGTAAACCGTGATTATATCATACCGTGCGGAGTTCTGCGTGTTATTTATGGTGTAAAAGCGAATTCCTCTAAGGCAGAACAGCCTTATATACTGGAAAACCGTAAGAGCGGCCTTGCTGTATGATTGTGAAACTTAGTCTTCAGGTCCTAGGGCTCTAGTCGGATCATTGATGTCTTCGTATGGTGACGAGCATTACTTGGCCGCAGCGTGTTCGGAATGAGTTAATACGCGAGGAGACTCTTGGTGATGAATGAGAATAACTAGAATATCACATAAGATCCATCAGTTCAAAGTGCTAAACCACTGTCTACCAAAGGAAGTTCTGTTATCAGCTGTGAGCCCTTGTTTAGAAGTCTTTCCTATCCGTCACACTGGATGCGATTGGACTTTCGTACATTTCTGGTTGGGTTCACGTGATTCTTCATGCACACCATTAGAATCCCTACAGGATATAGCACGTCACCAGCAGCACATGCAAGCATGCTGTTACTTCCTAGTGTGACTGCCCAACTTAAGTTTATCGTTGCTTTGCGGGTTCATATCAAGCGAGGTTCGCAGAGAAGGCTGGATGAGTCCCGCTGGTGACACATTTCTTCGATGTGTCGCTCAGATCCGTTTATGTTGTTGCTGTACTGGGGTGTATGAACCTTGTTCTTGATTGTTTTACTGTGGGGCGTACGCTGTTTTTTTATAGGTCGGTGACTTTTCCTTTTTTCCTACTCTTTACTAAGGTATTCCTCGTGATTGTGTGGTGGTGAAACTTCCGCACTATATCGATGATTTTGATACTGATGACTTTTCTGGGGCTCCTTACGGCTCACACTATTATATATCAGGCAGTTACGTGAGATTCTTGCCTTTCTCACATTCTTTAAAATGGACGTTTGGTGGTCGTCTTAGAGAGGGTGTTCATGGTTACATTGCATGATATCTGCCTATTCTTCCCTTCGTTCACCCAGTCCAATCTTTCATACTGTCGGTCTCTATTTGCAGCCTGGACTCACTAACACGATGACTACCCTGAGTAGCTTTTTGAACTCCATCTTGCTATCAAGTCCTACACTGGTAAACCATTCGACGCTGGAATGTTTACTGATATATCCTCTTCATACTGCCGAATTCACTTTCGAAACCACCGATAATGAATTGCGAGCGTTCTACGAGTTTGATGTGTACAGAGTTGTGCACCATGTTTTTAGCAGCTACGTTGCCCAGAAAGACGCTCGGTGGAGCAAACTGGTACAATGTGCTGTAGAGCTATCCAAATCAGATGTAGTTTTCCGGTACCTTTTGGATCAGTTAATTGCGCATACTGAGGAGGATTGGGTCTCTGTTGTCACCAACCAACTGGAGAAGTTTGTTTTTAACCAGGAACGTCTCTCCGCGACATTTGCTTTTTGGTCTGATACTTTACGGAAGTCTGTGAACAACAAGCCTGTTGAGGCATCGTTGCGTTCATTGATCAACTTGCCAAGTCGTTTTGCTGGTAGGCGTTCGAAATCCAAGTTTCTGAACCGGACTGCTTTTGTTATCAATCTTCTTTCAGTGTTCAAATCCGGTAGTTTCGATGAAGACGAACATTCGCAACTCTGTGGTCTACTTCTGAGCGAGCTCGCTTTAAATGGTTTTGCGTCCGAGCTGGCAGAGTTTGTACTAGACGACACTAAGGTTCAACTTAGTGCTTCAAGTATGGTGACGCAGAACGTATGGTCCAAAGCCCTTTATCATTTGAAGACAAATAGCATGGAATCTTGTTTGCAGCCTATCTTATCGAAAAGTTCTCACCCCTTCGTTGTCGCCGTTTTGTTCTCCAGACTGCTAGATGGGCCTAACCCTTCTTCATTAAAAATTCTCTTCAAGCTCTTCCGGCGCCTTCTCTTTGTCAGATATTTTCCGAACGATCGGCTCTTGCGCAATCTATTCGGAGGGCTATCTCAGATTGTCATCCAATATCTTTCGTCTTCGAATGTCTCACAATTGGTTGATATGGTTAATAAAGAGTTGGGTCTACCGTTACTTCACTTGTGGGCCGATTCTACAGCGATTCAGGCCGCATCGGTTGAACAACGGGTTTATACTTCCCAAGCGTTAGCTTCCTGGTTTACTGACTTTCATTCGCCGGTGGCATCTAAACTGTCTATCAAAATTTCTGATAGTCTCATGCTGCCGGATATTCTCAGTGGCATTAGCAGTCATCTTGCAAGCCCCAGGATTGAAATTCGAACTATTGGAATGGCTGTTGGAGAATGGCTTGTCAGCTTGATTAAACTACCTTGTGATGATGGTCAGTGTGGTTCGCTGCAGTTCGAGTATGAGGATCTTGAAGTGATCAAACGAATCAAACCCTTATTTGTACCTTTCCCAGCCTTTCCTACAGACACAACAGACACAACATCGGTCGTCTCGGAATCTGGTAAGTTTGGTTTGATGGTCTCCGTTCACATTGTCGTTCCTCCCTCTTGAGGTTGTATGGCTGTAGCGTCATTAGGCTCGCTTTCGAAGATATTGCTTCAATCCGGGACAACACTAAAGTTGTTTGAATTCATGAATTTTTGTCGTTTTTCAGTTGCCTCAATTATCATTTCCAGTGGTTAGTGGTTATGTTGCTACAGATAACTGGATCTTTACACACGAACACGCCCACTAGTCTTACCAATCAGATGTATCTACCACTGTCGTGTTACTGCTGAACCGGTTGACCACTAGCAAGAAGAAGGGTTTCAGACCAAACAACGGAGAAACCGCCGACACAGCTTATGCATACGACTGGTCGACCAAGCAACATGTCAAAAAGTGTTTTCAGCGTTCCGTGAAATTTCTTCCCCGATTTCTGTCGTGACGTGTGACACTCACCACTTTTATGAAGTCGTACGCTCAAGCGTTCCTAGCTGGACAGCGCGTCTTCTGTTGATTATTAGTTTTACCGCTTTACTAGTCGCCTCGCAATCAACACGGTTTGGGATTCGTTCTCTGTACACCAATTATTTGGTGTGCATTTTAATCTTTGTCCACCTGGTCAGCTAAGNNNCACGCCCACTAGTCTTACCAATCAGATGTATCTACCACTGTCGTGTTACTGCTGAACCGGTTGACCACTAGCAAGAAGAAGGGTTTCAGACCAAACAACGGAGAAACCGCCGACACAGCTTATGCATACGACTGGTCGACCAAGCAACATGTCAAAAAGTGTTTTCAGCGTTCCGTGAAATTTCTTCCCCGATTTCTGTCGTGACGTGTGACACTCACCACTTTTATGAAGTCGTACGCTCAAGCGTTCCTAGCTGGACAGCGCGTCTTCTGTTGATTATTAGTTTTACCGCTTTACTAGTCGCCTCGCAATCAACACGGTTTGGGATTCGTTCTCTGTACACCAATTATTTGGTGTGCATTTTAATCTTTGTCCACCTGGTCAGCTAAGCCGATTGCAGCTAGCCTACAAAGGCAGCCATCTTAAAAACAGGGTATACTTATATCGTTTTCATAGTTTTACGTCCAAAGCAAGGGAAAACTGGTTCTGAACGGCGTTACCTTTGATCAATACTTTTGTCCTTTTGAAGCCTGAATCGACTTGGACACTGAGTTTACTTTATTCAATCTACAGGTCACCCTGTTCGGGACCTTACGGTTGAAGTAGCAATGCTTCTGTCTTGTTGACTTTGTCACGGCCTCAAGCAAGCTGTGCAAATAAAGATCTGGATAATTTGTAACCCAATCTCGTCGCTCAGATTTATACTTTGAGAGCTGATGTAACGAAATTAATTTCGTACTACCGGGTTTCACCCCTCAGTATGTCCCAGCAAGTTCTCGATAGAATGTGATACGATGACGAACCGGTCCTTGCGACAGTTCTTTTGAACTCTAATCACCCGGCTTATTTCAGCAAGAATATCAGTGGGTTCTCCAACTACTCACAAGTAGGCAGACGTTTTGTGCTCCTTGTTGCGCAAGGGCTTCGATCAACTGCTGCTCCCTTGAGGTAACATGATATAATTCCTTATCAGGAATGGTCTTGCACATACAGTACAAGTGGGCTTTCAAAATGGAGTTCACAAATTTATAGCGGAAAAGGTCTGTGTCAGTAAAGGGAGGAACTAGAAGCGGCAATTCAAATAACGTAGTCTCGAACAGACTGCATCATGTTATTGTGACAGTTTCAATGGGTCAGCCACGTGTCAAGCTGTGCTAGAGGATGTCCAAAGAGCCTTCAGAGCACCCTACTAGGGACAGTGGACAACCTCATGAAACACAGTCTCTTAGATCTCCACCTCAGTGGTGAGAAGACTATTGTCTTGTTCTCCGGAATTCGTACCACTTACACTAGCCTTGCAATCAGGTGTTTGGATAAAAGACGGATTGGGGATATTAGTCACCTTACTATATACATACGGAAGCTCTGGTAGTAACTCAGCCTGCCTACACCAGCCTGTCTACCATCTTCATCTTCTTCAAGCCCCCATCTCGAACTTCCCACTTAATAACCTTAGCTGTAGACACGCCATTCATTTGCCCAGGGTACTGACCAGTGGTACCGCCAATGGTTAGAGCGCGAATTTACTGGTCCGAACCCGACCTATGCCTCTCGGTTTCTCCTATGTAGGTTTGGGCAAACTGCCAGTATCACAGCCCTCGTACTTCCGTCGGGTGGCATGGCAGCTAGGCAGTGAAAGCGTGCTAGAGCTGAACGATAATCATCATCATCATCATCGTCATCATCATCATCATCACCGCTAGCGCTCATGTTTATTGCCTCACCTCTCTTACTGGGATCTCACTCGCATGTTTTCATCCAGATCGTTCTCGCTACGTTCCAGCCAGACCGTTTGGTTATAACAGGGGCGTAAGCAGGAGGGGACGGCTATGTGCAGAACCATTCAGCTGTCGCATGAATCACTAGTCGAAGTTTTTACGAGATAATGTGAGGGAACACAAGCACTCACATGTCTATTTGGTAATGGGCTGACAAGGTAAAGTTCAACTTGTTTGATTCTTGTAAGAAATTGGTTGTCGCAATAGCTGGTGCTTTTAACGCGCAACTACGCCACATCATTCCATCAGAGCAATATCTTATTGACGTGTTTAGTTTAGACGCAGTGCTTAATGACAGTAATGGAAGCCTTTCCCAGTCTTGTGCTGACTATCACCTGTTTTTCAATAGTATGTAACTGAACTACCATGGAGCAGAATTGATCACACAACGACCAACTACCGATGGAGAGGCTGCTTTTGAATGCCAGTCATTCTGAAATACACACGTTTATTTACACCATAGTCTCGTTCATCTGAATTGCTAATAGATTTCCACGGCATGCCTAAGTAACGAGCTCTTAATCTAACATCGTAACGCTCTATGGAACACAAGGTAAACCAGCGTGTTTCAATTAGAGTTTTTTAATCGTCTTTCGCAGTTTTTGTAGGACATGCGAGGACGATGGAGTGCGATTAGACAGGATAGGATTGTAGAAGGCGATAGAGGTTCGTCCATTGTCGTGTATATTTGTGATAAATGAGTTTATTGGCTTCTTGTATCTAATCCACACAGTCATAATCGGACTGGACTAACTCCCGCTTTCGGGTACGCCTGTCTCATCGAACTACCACCGCACACAATGGACAAGACTACATGCGGTTTGCGCTGTGTCATATGTGCAGTCAGCCAGAATCCCCTTACGTGGGGGTAAAACCTGAGGGTGCATATTGAAGGAACAGTTCCAGAGCTGTCGGTCGTAACTATCAAATCAAACAGAAGCAGGTGCACATCGGATGCTCCCTTACGCGTAGTATGGCTCATTAACCCGCACTACACATAAGACACGTGTAGCTAGCTAGTGTTAACCACGATTCAATTCATCCATCCTCTAATCATTACCCACTGTCCTAGCTACCGTTCAATAAAGCAAACCCTAATGACCCCTCACTGAACTGAATCCCATGTTTCAGCTTAGTATCCACATTCTCTTCTGAACTTGAAAACAGTCATCCGTTTTTCAAATCTTGCTTGTGTGTTGTATCCGAAACATGCATGCAAGACCCCAGTTCATACAATCACCACAAGCCATTTCTACGACCTCAGGTATTTGATCCTCCACTCGCCAGATATCTTCTGATCCTGATGCAACGGTTCATGACAACTTGCATGGTGCTAAACTCATTCCCAGGGCTGTGTTTTTTGGACTGGACAGAAAGCGGTCATCTTTGCGCCTTACGTTTGTCTGGTTCAACTAAGATAAATGAGTAAACAGTGCTTATTAGTCGTGTCGGAATATGCGCCAGCAGACTGCAGCTCAGAAACAGAAAGGTAGATTTTATTGAGATGGGTTACGATTGCTCCGATCAGCAAGAAGGATGGTTTCATCTTGGCTTGTGATCTTAACGCTCAGGTTGGAGGACCGGGCCCGGAATCAGCACACTTGAGTGGTAGACTCGGAGTTGATGGCCACTGTAGAGATAATAGAGGACGAATTCTTCATCTCTGTGCTGAACATCGTCTGTTCCTCTTTAGTATCAACTTTCAGCGCAACCATTCATGTCGTGTTACTCGGACATCACCGACAACAGCATAAGAACGGTGTCGAGCTGATTTGGCTGGGAAGCCACTTGAAATTCACAGTCAAACCGATGGTAGTTGTTTGGACGATGAATGAAAGGTGATAAAAAGAAGCTACGCTCTCAGCTGTTATAGCTGTCTGCCGAAGCCATCCGAGCAGACTAAATGAGATCAGCTGATGGAGCCAGAAAGGCTATCCCAGCAACCAGTAACCTGTGCTTCGGGAAAACTTTTTTGAGTGGCGGTCCACCAATAAATCTGGGTCAGTCATATGTTGACATTGTTTTTTCTCTTTACGAATAAACCAGCTATCTGGAGGAGCAGAAAGTGTCTCATCAGTTCTGGATGAAGATGTTTTCTTCAAGGTAGGATCAGGATGGACAAATCTCGTGATTGAAAGGTTTTTCCACAGTGGATGTGTTTCCTCCTAAGGGTTTCTTAGAGAGGTGGATATTGTACGAAGATCCATCGGTGACAGTCGCTTGCGTATGAGAGTTCTGAATTCGTTAGTTATCAAATGCATACAGTTTTATCATGTCGCAGCTCTTCGAATAAGAGCCGTTGAAGTTTGATCCAAAGTTTCTTGGCCACTTTGTGCATTGATTTCTCCATGCGCTTCGTAACTAAAAATGTACTTCTATTTTCCTTGTCAACTTTTTAGACTTTACTGAAAAATGTCAGGCTATAGAAGCCAGGTCAGACAAGCCCACATCCGATGTGGATAGCGACGATGAACCTGACTCGTTAGACCCCAACCATTCGCCGTTTGTACATTTACCTCGACGATCTGGTCAACCAAAAATGGTCAGCTCTGTATTATCTTCTTACAGGAAACCTCGTTATTTACGCGAATGTCTGGATGGTATGCTATGTTCCAAACCTGAAGATAACCATATCAGCGTGGCTTGTTATACTTCCGCCGAAGAACTTATTTATGCTCATCCAAATGCTGCACGTGAACTGGTGAACGACTTTGCCCATGTGTTTGTGCATATGGACCTGCCCTCTTGTCCCGAGGAATCTAAATTAGCATCCTGTCGCCACGCAGCCCTTGTTGCGCTGGGTACTGTTGCTCCGAAGGAATGTGCTCGTTATCTTACAAATGAATTCTGTCAGTCCACATGTTCCGTTGGACAACGGCAAAACATTATCTCTGCGATCACTGATATAGCCTGTCAACTATCGTCTGACGGTAATGTGGACAAGAAAGCGGGTGTTTCGCCTTCGCACGCTGACGATTCTACACCCAAGTCGTTGATGTCCTCTAAGCTTGTGTCACAAACACGTCGCTTCTGCAGCCATCGACCACCGAAACCACAAACAATCAACCAATTCGCTGCAGTTGCCGGAGAATTCTTTTTTCCTCTGTTACGAAGCATACCTCAGCTTTTTGCTGGTTCTCACACTGGCACATTTGCTCATCAGGACGCCAGTTTGTTAGCTAATTTGGTTGCTTCACTGGCTGTCGTATACATGTGTGCTCGCTTGTCTTCCGTTCAGGCGCGAATGGCATCGGAACTCTTGGAACTTGCACCAACTCTGTATGCTCATAGAGAACCAGCTGTAAGACGAGCAGTTTTGATTGCAGTTGGAACCGTAATAACTACTACTCCCACCAGCCTCCTTTTGGCCAATCCGCAAATGTTTCTTGAGGGCTCTTCATCGATGCACCCTCTACCTGCACCCGACTATACAGATGCTTCGGGATTTTCACTTGCCAGTTGGCTTAAACTCTGTTCATCGGTAGACAACGATTCGGAATGTAAACTTCTCGCTTCAGTTGGCCTATCTGCTTTGATGGAAAGATCTCGGGAGCTCGGTTCCCCCTGATTAATCCGGTCGTTTGTTATACTCAGTTCTTTGATGATTTTCACCTCGCGTTTTTTGCATCCAGATGTACTATATTTTATCTAATATATTTTTATCTTTCATACTTCGTCCGTTTTCGCGGCTTGAATGATGCTTTTCAGCCATGCTGTTTTTTTCAGAGCCCTACTTTACACGCCACAGCAGTATGTAAAGTGAAATCCACAAAATTATTCCTTGCGTTGATGGATTCTCCTAGAAATCAAGATGTAATGTGGCCGTAGTTTCGTGCTAAACGGTTGGATTTTAGGTGAAACTGGGACGAAGTTGAACTGTGAGTGCGATACTTTAGATTTCACTGGCCTACAAGCCACCTAGAATTGATCTATCTGTTGCACTTTTGTTTAGTTTATTTTCCGCATTCTGAATGCTGAGACAGTTACTTCCTGAGAAGTATTTCATATTCTTGCGAAGTCAGACAGCGTGCAATCTACATGACTACACTACATAACTGCCCAGTACTATATGTAAGCGGCAGCAGCCTTGTAAAGTGTAGTCTGTAATTTTTGAACTTTTTGCTTCCTCCTTTACATATCATCGCCATCCTGTTTGAGCGAAGCTTTTGCATCTAAAAATAATTACTTTGGCTAAAATCCGAATATAAGCTATTGCTTTGGACGGAGAAAAAGTTGTTTCCACGATAATCCGAACTGCGGCTCGTCTCAAGGTCATTGCTGAACATGATTTTATGACACTTTTTAAAACACCTTTAGTGCGTGCAACTGGTTTTCCTACCCAGCGTCCTAACATTGTTTTAGGTTGTACATGGAAACGGAATCCTCCGATGCCTGGACAACAAGTGCAGCCTCCAATTCGGAGCCCCCGGGCGGATCACCGTATTCTTCCAGTGGGAGAATCTTCTCTTGTGGACCGCCAGACGCCGAACTCAATGGAAATATCCTGTTTTCTGATCAGTTGCTAAACAATGCCCCCTTGGAACTGCCTACCTCCGATCGTCCCATTCATGCCGAAGTTTGTATTTCACAGTTCAATGTGGAAACGTTTTCTGTAATTGAGTCAAACGTAGTGGAGTTTTTACGCAGTTTGGGTCCACGGCACGTCCCTACGGTTTTCAATAATTGTGAGAACCACTTCACTGCTGTCAACTCAGACAGCTCAAGTCAACAGGTTGCCGAATTTCTTCAACGTTGCGTTGCATCTATCAGCGTAAGCCGCCTTCTCGACACTATCCCCGTTTAACTTCATGCTGTTGTGTGCTGACCGTGATGTGTCTTCCTAATTTAGAAATGCGTAGCCATTTTAAACAATAGATAGCCTCCATGCAACCAAACTTTTCATTTAAAACTGGTATAAAATTTTCTGCATGTTTGTATGCTCAATCGATATTTGGTTTGAATTTATACAACTCTGGGTGCCAACTAGCTGTCACAAGGTTAGGCCGTCGATGATGTCCGTGTTCTCACTACAAGTGACGCATACATGTAGTCATGGTGTAACACTGGTTACATCCAGTGTTAGGCACCAATTCGCTGATGTTTACCTTCTCTCAGTTGGTGTCCTGGGTCAGGTCTTCTGAACCCTTTTGTTGAAATATTCGTAGTGTCGTTCATTGACTTTCTTCATCATAGATCTAAATGGCCATTTCGTTGGTTTACTGCATCTCAGGAGAACTGCAAGCCTGCTACATGTATGCACCGGGTTGGGCACCAGGTCTGATGCTCCCTTGACGACTCAACATTTTGGTATTCTTGTGGGTTATTTTAAGATGAAGACGGCGAACACTGCAGTCACCTCTTCATTAATATGCCCACAATTTTAAAATTCTCAAAGCGAGAACAAACTTTTTGTAAAGCACATACAGAGCTTGATCGAGTGAATCTTTTGAATAGGAGTGCTGAGAGAAAGCTTCCATACGATTCCCATGGCATTTAAGAGAAACCTTGTGCCTGCGTCCCTCTCTGTGTAGTGGTGCTTTTGTTCTTAGGTGAGGTTTTCAACTTTTGACATTTTCTAATGACAGGGGGCTTTTAGTTTTGCCCTAAACTTGATGCGTTTTTTATGGTAGTGATTTCTGTTTTACTTCCCAGTGCTTTACTTTCATTGTTCCGCACATTTGAAAGTGCTATACAAGTATCTTTGAATTAAAGGTTTTCGCTGCATCACTTTTCATGTTTCGTGGATCTCAAGTATGTTTTGTTTTTCTTGTCAATCCCTCTCTATACAGCTCCTTTTGGACGAAGCTGATGGTGAGAATGGTTACGATATCAGCAAGTCGGTGGATTTGCGCACTGTTCCTCTGTTAGTACATGTCTATCAACTCGTTTCTGGTGACGAGGCACTACCAGTGCACGAACTTGTTGAAGTGGGATCCGAGACTATCAACGGTGGAACTGTTTGGCTTCTTCCATCGATGGAAATGCAAGGTCTGTGGGAGTCTTTAATTTTTGACTCAGATATCAAACTGGACTTGCTGAGTTATGCCCAGACAGCGCTTCTGTTCGCTGATAGACAGGTATTACATCTTGACGATCGTAACCTGCTTTTAGGTGTCCACGTCAATAATCTCGTGGAATCGAGTGATTTTATTGTACGGTCCACCAGGAACGGGAAAGACATCATTGTGCCGAGCCCTAGCTAACAAATTGGCCATCCGCATGGCTAATCGTTACTCATCGACCAAACTTATTGAGCTCAACACAATGAATCTTATGTCGAAATGGTTTTCTGAGAGTGCCCGGCTGGTTGCTCGTATGTTCGATGCTATCAGAGAGTATCTGGAAGCACCTGAGCATTTGGTTTGTCTCTTGGTTGATGAGGTGGAAAGTTTGACTGCGGTACGCAGTTCCGCCATGTCAGGCTGTGAACCCAGTGATGCTATTCGTGTTGTCAATGCAGTTTTGACACAAATAGATCAAGTGAGTATTATTGTTCATTAGTTTCTGTCGTTCTTTGTAAAGGCCGGATTGGCTTTATTATCTGTCCAACAAAAACATCACTAAGCAGCAGCAAAGCAGTTTTCTTTCATGTTACTCATTTCCTGCGATAGGCTTTTTATCAGTTTCAAAACAACCCGCAAAATTCGTCCAAAACGTGATTAACTCACAGGGCTCTAAAAGTGCTCATACTCATGAAGAGCCTGAACTGTAAGCTGGTTTGGTGGTTTGTGCGCCCCCGAACTATGCAAAGCTGTTCAATGAATACAGGTCCGAACACCATTCTTCTGGCCTTCCAGTTCCAGGGTCGAAGCGGGTGTCGAGGTTTGTCGTTTAAATTCCCAATACTCTGGTGGCTTTACGTTAAATATCGCTGTTTTGTGTTTGTATTTTTGAGCCAAGGCTTTCGGCTGGGGACCCCAATAATTCCTGCCTCGTTTTGGACAACTTGACAGTATGTCAGTCCACAAAACTACATGTGAAATAATGATTTCGAGCTACATCGGCCGTCACTTGTTGTCATCATTCGGATCACCCTATGCATACTGTTGGGTAAGCGAAAACAGAGTACCGCTGATACCTCCTATCCTTCATCCAAATCTCCCCTTCTGCTCATTTAACGATTGCTGTAGTGTATATTCGGGTTCTAGGTGTCCCTCTTGCGTCCAAGGACTAGTACAACATAGCCGCCTATTTCAGTCGCTTTGTGTCCCTCTCAGACCTCGTTCCTTTGAATTTACCAAGCCTCTAATGTTCAAACTCCAAAGCAAACCGGAATGAAGTTTTGCTAGGGCTCTCGTGATATTTCGTCAATAGCTGTTTTCCAAATTTCTGAAACTTGACTACTTACGGTAACAGAGTCCGCGGCAGTTTGGTCATTCAGACGCCACCTGCTAAAACTATTGCGATCCTGCAGCTGATGCAGCTGTTCGAGTCAGCCTTGGTATCGATCTCAGTACCCAAGCTGAAGCCTCCTTGCTTGGCTGGGTCGATTCAAACGACCGTCTTTATGCTGTCCATTTGTCAACTTCCATAAGGGCGCTCGCTAACCATCCCCTTTTCATAGTTCCTGCTCACGTAGTAGCCACTTTAGCTCTGATTCATCTAGACATACCTTTGGTCGGAAACTAAGCACTATTCCATCCAGTGCGAAATGTTCACCGAGGCTCTCAGTGCAAATTGGGCTGTCTCATTCTCTCCGGGAGTCGACTTCATGACCTGTCCTGTTTGTAGTCAGGCCACAATGGTAAGGATGGTGAATATGCATAACCACGGAGGCTGGTGGATTTCAGAGCGATCAGCCATCGAAGGCAAGGCTCTTTTCTTGACTGTTGCTACTCTCTAATCGCTTCCGATCAAGGTTGTGCTCAACAGCTCTTCTAGGAACTGGAAAGGAATCTGCTCCTGTAGCTGTCGAGCAATTCCGAACCACTATTTAAGCAAGCTTACCAAAATATCTCGTATTGAGCTTTAAAGGCCACATCCTCAGGTGATGTCAAATGTAATTGGGCACATACTCTACTGGCGTGACAACTGGCTACTAAGCAAACCCTCGTTTTCGCCAAACCTAAGTCGATGAAAGTTTTGAAGCGTACAGATCGTGATATCACTACGCGAAACAAGCAGCTTCTGTTATTTTGATCGCCTGACGTCTTCACGTCTTCTTGATTAGGGTTCACATGATTCTTCTCACACGAGATTGAAAACCTTACACGACATTGTACGTAAGCTCTCCCAGTGACAGGTATACTGTCACTGTCACCTAAACGACCTACCTAACTAGTTTTTTCATTGTTTTATGGACTTGTTTTGCGTAAGATTCTCGATAGATACCATGTCAGTGACGTTGATGACGTTTGTCCCAGCTGGATGTTCAGATGGGCATTTCAGTTGTAAGCGCCTCGTTCTTGAAGCTGGGTAACAACTCAAGTAGATACGTAACAAAACCCTGTTGCGGGTTATTGCACAGACACCTTCAGCGTCGTACTGATGCATCGTCACGACTTCGAAAGTTTTGTCCAGTGTCTCACAAGCAGTTGATTCAAAGTCAGCAAAAGTTTGTTTGGACGTATTTTTTTACCTAGCGGACGATTATTTCAATACAAACGCGACCATAGAAAATGTTTATTTGCTCCTCAATCGCATAGGCTGCTCTTCTACACATAAAACTCTTCATAGAGCTTCATACGATGGTCGTTTGCCCACTGAGCTGGGGAATTTAATTGCAAGTAATTCATCACCAATCGGGATGACATCGTCTGTGCGTTGTTAGAGGGCGGAATGGATGGGGTCAGTGGTTGTGCTCTGGTGATATCACCTCGATTGATGCTGAAGCGTTAACAATCAGATTGTCCAGCTCAGCGAGCAAACCAGCTACCATGTAGAAGTTTAGTGTCTTGTGAGAATGCGGTTTCGGACGGAATTCGTGTTTAAACGCCCAGCTTTGATCGTGCAAGGGTTATATGCTTCATCACTGTGAGCGAACAGGAGACCGCAAAATCTCTGTACTGCTAGAGCTATGATGCTTTTTTCGGTGACCGAAGATCATAGACTTATTCACTGTTTAGTTTACTGTTTAGAAAGATTCCATATTGATTTGTAATACTCGAAACGGGATACGTTTAAATCTTGAGTTGCTGGCTGATTTGGACGGTGGTCGGGACTGTAATTCGTGGCTCGCTGAAACCTTGCGTTGTTTATCAAAGTGCGTGTCTCAGAATATTCATCGACACTGAGTTAGTGTCTGTTCTAAGTTTGAATGCATCATTTAAATGGTTTTGACTTTCAGCGTTGATAAAAATAAATTAGCAGAATTCCCCTACGCTACCATATGCAGCCAGGTTCAAGTGACTCAGTAGTCAGTCGTGTGAACGAGATGATCATCCTGAAGCTATGTAGGCTTATCAGATAAGCGCGGTTTTGCCATGTCGTATGTAGATAATTCATCGAAGCATATCACACGTGTTTGTTCTATCATTTTATGTTCCTTTCTGGTGAGACTTTTTGATTTTGTGATGATCAGATCAAGCGCTATCCTAATGTGCTCGTTTTGGCAACCTCCAACGTGACCGGCGTGATCGATCCTGCCTTTCTTGATCGGGCTGATATTCGCGTGTTTATTGGTCCGCCATCCGCTCCGGCCATCTACACTATTTTCCGTTCCTGTTTGCAAGAACTCATGCGCGTTGGTTTAGTTGAAGCGGGCGAGGATAAGCTGCTGAGTTACCAAGCTCTGGCAGCAATGCAATTCATGGAAAATAAGGTACCTGTTCTTGCTTAACGTGGTAATTTTTTCAAACGACACTCAACAGTAGCTTTTTGTTTCGTGTCACATCATCCCTGTATGTTTGTAGGGATCATTGTGTTGTGTTTTTGGCGTCTTTTGTTGGTAGTTTGGAGGTCGTTGTTGCTGTTTTTGTGGTGGTGCTTTCATCCTGTGTGGTAATTTTTCGCCTCCTAAGTACAGCGACACACTTATGTCATTAGGTTCCGTCTATAGACTGACGTTTTAATTGGAACAACTCGGACCTCTCCACCAGTAATCGGGTTACCGTAGGATAGAATTTCTTGTGTTTCTGAGCTCTCTAAGGGACACTGTAGGCTTGCGAGAATATAGATGATGAGGGCATAAATGTCTGACCAATCCCGGAAGCTGCCCACTACATCTTTATGTCCACGGTTGCCTCTAGGTACGAAATGTCGTCATTGTCGCTCACGATTTGTTTAGTTTGCATTGAACCACACTTGGCTCGGATGTTCGGTGTTTCACAATCGTTGTCTCGGAACCATAGCGCGTGTGGGTTGGTGTCGGCGAATCCGTAACGAGGCAGTTAGAAAGCGCGTTTTCGGTTGTGCAACGGGTACTTCCATTGAAGAATGTGTCCAGCACCAGAAGCTGCGTTGGTTGTGTTGCGTATGCCAAACCATCATTTGCCGAAGAGAGTGCTGTTTTCCATGCCCAACTCAGAGTGACAGAAGTAGAGAGGTGGCCAACCGTTGACTTGGCAGAGGAGTATGAAGGAGATCACGAAACGCTTGGTTGTTGTTGGTGCTACTTGCCTCCCAGAATGGTGACTGCGTTATCCTCACTGCTCCGGGTTGGAGACGCTGCAAGCTATGACTGCCAAACGATGTCAGTGGCAATCTTGTTGTCAGTTTCTATTCAGATCGCCTGAGCGAATGTCTGGAGGTATAGGCACCTCGGAATAATTGTGGTAAGCTAGCACTATGTCCCTTCCCCGTCCACCTTTACTGTTTTCTTGACAATAAGGTTTTCAAATAAATCATGGTTGTACGGCAGTGAAGCATCGGTGTTGAACAATGATGTCATGCTGTCGATGATGAAGATGACTAGGCATAGCCGTCAGTGTGTGGAGGTCGCCCGTTGAATGAATCTGGAGGGTGTGGTGCTCTGCAACAAGCATAAATACAGCGTCCATGTTGTGGAAACGATCAACTTTACGTACCATCGCCCTTTTCTGCCAGGAACACCCAGCGGAGCTGAGAGTCTCCGTATATTCCGGGCATTCAGTGGTTGCTTTCAGGAAGCTTACCTTTTTGATAGTCCACCTTTACTATTTTCTTTACAATAAGGCTTTCAAATAAATCGTGGTTGTACGGCAGTGAAGCATCGGTGTTGAACACTGATGTCATGCTGTTGATGAAGTTGATGGTGGATCGGATGTCTCATACATTAGAGACTGGTGTGCTACCGACGGAGCTGCTTCCCTTTGAATTTGGCCTCACTGAATAAATAAAGCACTAAGCTCTACTAACATATCCTTCAGCATTTGATTCATAACTGTCAAGCGCGACTAGATCCGTAGCCGTGATCCCGCACACCAGGTAGGCACAGTAACCTGTTTGGTTGTCATTCGTAGCTTGATCCCTTCGCACAGGCCACGCTCGCAACATCTCATTTTTTTAAATTCTGTTCTGGGTCTCCGTTGATGAGTTCAACTGTTTGACGTTGACTCCAGATGGAATATTTGGGTTACAAATCCTGGTAAATATACCGCCAGTTAATCCACTTTCACTCAAGTCACAACGTGGTTGGGAGTGCCAATCACTGTTATTGTCTGTCCGGATATCTGACTAATGCGGATGCAAGTGTTCATTCATCTTGTGCAAAGTCCAGTACATCAGATTTATAACACACGGTTGTGCAACCTTATGTACAATTCCCAGTTATATACTTATCGGATCAGGAAATTTGCTTTGATTCTTACTTCGTGTGGTTATCCATTTTTGGGTCACCAGTATCTTGTAAAACGAGGAACTTCGTACTGGTTGTTGTGATTCGTCGGATTGTGGAAATGAAAGAATTCAGGCTGTTTGGAATTGATAATTCTTACATCCAAGTCTGTCTTGAACTGTTATCTTGAACTGTTGACGTGACACAATCGTCGTTGCATTCAGCTCCTCAACACATTTTTGTGCTGCAAGAACAATGGCAGTGTGCAGAGGGACTCCCATATGGAACCACTAGAGTTTCATTTCCAAACTTGGAAACACGGCAAGGCTGATTTTGGCGTCCTTTACAACTGATTATTTTCATAATGTCCCTCTACTATTCAGTGTTATTGCCTACAACTTAAAAAAAACTAGCAACCCATCAGAAGTTTCCAAACAACCAGAAAAATCTGCCTGTTAGGACGTAATATTCTTATTTCTCGTTGTCTGTTCACTTTTGACAGATGAATTATCTCAGCTTGGACCTCTGGAAACTTTCCGAACGTAGTGTTGGCCTGAATGGCCGTACATTGCGTAAACTACCCCTCTTGGCACACGCCTTCCATCTCACTAAAGTTAGTCCCAGCTTACGTTCCAGTCTCTCCACCAGTGGACGCCTTTATCTTGGATCCTGTCAGTCATCAGCTGCTCTGCAATCTGGTCCTGCCTATTCTGTGCATCCCCTGCTGGCCCAGTATGGTCAAAGGCCAACAGTTTCCGTACCAACGTTTGTGCAAGCTCTGCGATTGACAGTGGAAAGTCAATTTGCTGAGGTAGAAGCGTTGGATTTGGCTTCATTGGACAAGGGTCGGCTCAAAACGCACAAGAAACGAGCTGATTCTGCGCTGGGCGCACCACCTCAGGGTGACACTCCCCTTCACTAATTGTTGCTGTATGTATCCTTTGGTCCTGTTCAAACGTTTATCCCACACCGCAACCGGTTTCCGGCAATCCATGTGCCACCTTGCATTTTCATTTTGTTGAATGTGGGTATTTTCTACCACCAAAATTGCTCATTTGTCTTGATTGTTATTTTGCTTTGTACCGTTGGTTGGCTGCTATGAACATTTCCGTGCCAGTATACAGGCTATTGCGAACCGAATCGGCTTTTATTGATGATTTGTTTCTACTGAACGGTACGCATTGGGCGTTTTTAGTCACACTGAACCAGACCAAAGACTGGCCATCTTGAGTGAACTTGTGTCTTAACTCTACTCAAGCAAGAAGCGTGCTGTTAGGTTAACCTAATCACTTACTTTGGTCATCAGGAGCATGATTAACAACTGTTTTATCCCTAGTTTAATCGATCTTCTAAGTTTCCAGCATATATCTGTTGCATATGGCTAGGATGCAGGGAGTCTTTCCATGGTCATTGGTTGAAAAGCTATATTAAGATTTGTGTATCTGTGCCTCATTAAAACTCTCATGTTTTATTGGGTGATGGCACTATCGGGTGATTTTTTTCTCCAGAAAAGTGACCCTACCATCATAGTAATGATGTGGTCATATCCGGACGAGTGCAATTAAACGATGCTTTGTATTCTTATCAGAGGCAATCAGGTGGTTGTTGCTCACAGAGCACATCGCATCGAACTTCAACTTTACGGCTCCACAAGTCGACCTAAATGAACGCGGATCCGGTCTCGGAACGTTCACCTGATGTTTCATGATGGATTATGCGGCTAGTTTTTTGGAATTCGACCATAACCCTTTTACAAGTATTCCAGTCCCAAGACCTAGTGAATATCCGATTGTATGGGGGCATCGTTTGCTAGCTGAATAAAACATTCCTCGTCAAGTAAGTGATTGAATAAGTCTACTGCTAGTTTGACTAAAAGTCACACCTACTCAGTCTCTTACTCAAGGCAAATAGAAACACCACTTACTAAGGTTGCTTTTGTTCTTCGGTCCGTACTTTTAGATTTTTGTGTGATTGGTTGAAACTCTTCAGTAATTGTGTTAGCTCCCCAATAAGCTAATACCGATGAATAGATTTCACTAAGCTACCGTGAAATTTGCCTATGAATTGTTAATTTTTGAACCTCCAACAAAGACCACTGAGTGTGTATCTCAGATCCCCATTTCCTTTGCAGCGAGGATCAGGACGCAAACTGCATGGTTGTTTGAAAATGTGTCAGGGAACTGATGTCCCTGGTCACCGTTTTGTTGCGATACTTCATATATGTTTCGGAATGACGTTTCCTTAATCAGTGACCCGGAAAACGAGCAGTGGATGCCCTGCTCATATCCTTAAGCGGACTTGGGGAACTATATGCTACGTCTTGTTTTTTCTTACGCCTGTACCAAGAAAACAGCGAGTTTCAGGATTTGACCTCGTCGTGAATCCAACGGCGACATCCTCACAATTCACAGTTCAATTATCCGGAAGCCGTTTTACTCAAAGCGAAAGTAATTTTCTGAAGCATCGGTACCACAAAACCTAACGAAATGCACCTTCAGAGCGCTTTCGTATGGACCAAGGATCCGTAGACTGGCTTTTGATCGCAAAAGGTTGATAAGATCGGATTTCTGTCTTTTTTCTCTCTGGCCCACGAGAAGTTGACGGATAATTAGCGTTTAATCTTTCTTGGTTGAACTGCTCCTTATTATTCGGGAAAGTTCATCATTCAGTTGGCATTCGAATCGTTTTTCCGGATCGTTGTCCTCTTCACTAACAACACATGATGCACAAATGGGTGTTTTGAGTTCACCTTGTTAAAGCACTTAGATTCTTGAACTTTTCGTAAATGGGACTGAGTAATTTACCAGGATACAAGATTTCTATGGATCTGAAGGTGATCATCCCAGAAATAAGATACTCAACCAACTGTAAACCCTTACGAAGCACAGTCGCCATTTCACCCGAAGGAGGCATGAGGGCCAAAATACTGCCAGGTTTCTCAAGCCCAGACAGAAGCGCTCGAAACGAAAAGGATGGGCCCTAACCATAGACGTTTTGGTCACTAAATTTGCACTTCAACCACTGAACCATCTCAAGCTCAGAAGTAGGCATTATACTGGAAAGCTGACGTAAAAAGCTTGTAGTAGGCTCTCCTCAGCAGTTGCTCGTCCTCGGAGGGATCTATTCTAAGCGAGTTACCATGTGATTTTGTGCGAAGACATTCTGGCTGTTGTCTTTTGCATCGTGTTACCTCCTACCAACTTTGTATCCTGAATGAAAAGCACAGTGCTCCCATTCTGTATCGTTCATTCGAAATATGAGCAATTTAATAAACTAGCTTGTCCAACGAAAAATTTTTGAAACTGATTCGTCCCTCTCGAATTCGATTTTCTTTCTGCAGGCAAACTTCTGCTAACCTAGTAAAGGATGCTTTCGGAGTGAACTGTCGCAGCGGAATTTGTTTTGCGCAAACATTATCTGTGAACTTCATTCTGTTCATACAAAGCGGGTTTTCTAGTCCAGGAACGTTACAGAACTCCGTTCACGTATGTGCAAACATGTTACCACATTGTGGCAACGTTTGCTGAAACTGCCACACTGATGAATACCTTTGAACAAATGCATACAGCGAATGCGTAAGGCCCCGAATCTTCATCATGGACAGCTATGCACTAGTATTGAATACTGGGGGTTAAACACCATAAAACCATGAGAATGAATACCTTAATATAGAGGGAAGAGAAGAGGAAGATTGAGGATTTCAGAAAAACAGACTGGTATCCTCGCGGAAAGGCAACCAGATCAAGGTGCCTACGCTTATGAACGACAACAATGTAGACGTATCCTAGTATCACTCCGAAATATGACGCAATCAGTGGGACTGATCCAACGTCGCTTATGGACCACACGTAGCCCACGCTTATAAATCCGACGTAACCAGTTAGCACGACTACAAACTGCCGAAATGCTGGCCATTGGGACCGATTACGTACCATGTACCGTACAAATCTAAACCGTATGCAAAGAGAATCACGCGGACCCCATCTAGGAAGGCGCGATGGTCCCAGAGGACTCGGTATTGCGCATGACCAGATTGTGACCCGCTTTCCATGGGCCCTAATCTACACGAGTTTCTAGTAGAAGACCAAGTTCGGTGTGCGTACACCACATCCGTACTACCCTAAACTGATGGGTTTATTTACTGTTCTAGTGATTCCCTACCGAATGTTCGCTTACGCACCGCTTTAGTGCGAAAACATTCCGGCTGCCTGAAGCACTGCGTTAGCACCGTTGCTCAGGCGTTTGAATCTGTCCAACATATCCTGGGGTCGGAGGATCCAGGAATCGCAACCATGTTATATCGCTCCTACACTCGCTTGTACGCACGACCCTTCAGCTTCAGTGGAATTCGGCTCAGAGATTAAATTGACGCAGGTTTGAAGATGTTTGCTCTGACTAACTGATTTCTGTCACGGTATATCGACCGCTCATGCTGCTGTTCACATAGATAAACCGGTAAACTGGTTCAACTTCTGCAGGAGGTTTCAGGACTCTGGGTGACTGAAAACTCAAGCAATGCTTTACATTTTGAGGGGGGAAAAGGATCACGGTCAGCATTCTACTTTGGGCAGACTGCAAAATCCTGTGTCAGCTAGCAGAGCAATGCATTCTGAATCGTTCTGAATCGTCTATATCTAGATTCAAATTCGGTACCAAGTTTCTTTATTTCTTGAAAGGTGCGTTCTTTAGTCATATTAACGAGGAAAGTGAATGGAAGCAGTAGCTCTGTCCATCCCCACTAGTTGTGGTGAAGAGTTTGTAAACTCTCACACGAAATGCATTGAGGAAACAGAGAGCATGGAGTATATTGACGAGTCTCAAGGGCGCTCCTCTCTGGCCAAGTATATGTAGAGCTGAACTATCTCCTAAGTCAGGGGGTAACTTAAATTTGAGGGCAATCATCGCTCCTGAAAGGGTGTACGAACGCCGCTAATCAAGTAATTGACAATGCGAAACCGTTATCAATAAACTCCATACCTGACCGAGCTTCTGCTTGATGCTCTCGGATTTACTGGGTTTAGGCATTGTTCTATTATTGAGGCCCGTAGCGGCGTTATGACGTTATACGTCTGTGCTTGCTGCAGTCACTTCTCGTACTTTTTTAACAGAGATGTGCAAATTGACTAGCTCCGGTTTTCCAGGACGCATCATAGTTTCAAGTTGATTTCACGTTACATCCCTCAGCCGAAGGTGTAAAACACTCCACAACAACAACGATTGAACGATGAGCGTTACGTGGTCTTATCACGACCTTAGCTACCATATCATTCACTATACGTTATACTTGTAAATGGTGAATAATTTATGTCTGTTACTGACGACGAACAGCGTAGCTGGAGTAGAACAAAAAGATTCGTATGCGGAAGATCGCCTGGTTCGGCAGCCCAGTTGTGTATCACTTGAGTTGAGCGAGTCAAACGAAAGACCTAGTTACGGGAGCCAATAGTTGGCCAAAGTTTTGTTGCTATCCAGAAGCAGGTTTTCATTGTATCTTGAATTTCAAAAATTATGTTTGCTCAGCTCACGTCCAGAAACGGACTCCTGAGGGATCAGGATGGAGGTACCCAACCGCATCCAAGTCCATTGCGGAGAATATGCATTAGACAGATTACGTAATATTCCTCCAAGATTTCATCCTGTAAGTGGAGTCAGTCTAATATTTATCAGCATCCCTTTACTGACGAGCACTTGCGCCCAATGAAAACGTTTCGGCAGCAAACTGTGATGCGTTTCAGCTATGCACCGTTACGTATTTGTTGAACTTGATTGGCTTAGCCGGCAGCCAACCATAGTTCAACCAAGCGGTGTAGATCTATCTGTGAGCAAAGACACAGAAAACCCCGATGGGTGACCAGGCTGTGGCTCTAGGGCTGAGGGTAAATCACCAGTCTGACCGAAGCCGTATTTCAAGATAGTTGTTTCCAGTTCGCCAACTTGTGGACAAATGTAATCGGATTCATGATTATCTCCGGATTTCCATTACTGAAAACTGCAACCTAAAGTGTAGGTTTTGCGGAATAAAATCACACAAAACAAGGCAATTATTGTCGACCATCAACCGCATCACCCCTATGCACCAAGCAACAGTTCATTTCTGCTGAACACATCCTGTTCTTGGCTGCTTATTTTGTCCGAAGAGGTGTTAGCAAAATCCGTCTAACTGGAGGGGAACCGCTGATGAGGAAAGACCTACCGGAAATTATTGGTATGTTTGCTTACGGTGATAACTGCTGAATGCAAAGAATCCCTTAATGGGTTAAGGAAATATAATGGAACCTTGAAAAACATATCAATGACAACCAATGGTATTGCCTTTGCTAAAAGGGCGAAGCAATTCAAGGAGCTAGGGTTGGATTCAGTAAATATCAGCTTGGACAGTTTAAAACCTGAGAGAGTGAAGCAGCTCACCGGATCGCCTGTTTTGAAGCATGCCTATACTTCCATTTATAGTGCACTGGGAAGTGGATATAACCCTGTGAAAGTGAGTGAATATCAATAGAAGTGACTTTTACTTCGTCAACAGCTACGAATTCATTTTTTACATGCCTCCTTGTGTGTTCAAATGAACTGAACTATCATCCATGTATGGATCTAGGTCTTCTCCCTGAAATCTAGTGCTATTTACAAGCAGCAACTAAGGAAACTTGTAGAAAAATAGCGTTTGTCATAAAAGTTTATCGCAAACAGCGCAAAGTGATCCCACACATTCATTAAATATTGCAACAGATCTTGAGCTTGGTTTGCAAGTTAACACTATTGAAGAAGTCTGTCTAATTATGGCCATATAAGGAAAAAATATACGATAAGTGATGACCAAGATTAGAGACATCACAAACGAGAGATTCAGCTGGGTTCCAGGAGAGTCACTCGCAAAATACCAGGTTAGTTTACAAATGAGTGTATTTTGCCAAAATCAACCTCCTCCAGTTTGGTGACCCACCAGATCAAATGCCATTCATGGACTCGTCGAAAATCTCTGGGTATTTTATTTTGAATCCAAGTTCTAGTTCATCTCACTGGTACCCAACCACTTGTTGCTTAGTAGTAGCTTTAGTATTCAAACCAGCCGGGAAGCTACGGTTTTGAACCTCACTGGAGTCTCAGGGGACGCGCTGCTGACGGGTCCCGATAAGGATGAGACAGCTACAGAGTGCTTTTCGGCTCAAGACTGGTTGACTTAACTCATACGACGAGCACTCAATTAAGAGTGTCTGAATCTCCATGTACACCGCTAATTTCACGTTATTCTTGAATTCGCCTGGTGCAACGACGTTCGTTCAAAGTGATTAGAATAATTAATTATTATTACTCAGTAATTATTAATTAATTAGTTAACTATTAATTAATCATTATTTCCAATACCTCACCTGGTACGATATTCCGTTAGTTTTGCATTTCAACTCATATCTGAGGCAAGAAAACTTCTCGATTACCGTGTATGTTGAACGGCCAACACACGGTCCCTGTTGTTTGGAATCTAAGTGATCTGAAGGGGCCTGCTGGTGATGTAATTGAGTAGGATCGATTTTCTGCGTTGTTGTCGATTTTTAGTGGATTGGAATCATCACATCACTGCTTCCGTAAACTTGACTGTGACTATTAGAGTTGATGGATTCTACTACGGTTAGGCGGCCGACTCACATTGGATTTATGATTTGAATTCAACTGAAATAATGATGCGTGTAGGTGAAGTTTGTGAGTGTACTCGCCTGTCGTCATCGAAGGACATACGTATATGAAATCACAGTCAATCCTTAAGTTATTCGTGATGTTATAACAGTTGCGACTTTCTGTATTGTTACTGGTTCTTTTGCAAATCAATCAGGACCGGCTAGTGCATCAGATTCGATAGATTTTACGCGGCCGATCAATCGGATTGGCTGGTATGTGTATCAATGCACCGTGCTCAAAACTGCTGACGTTATAAGTTTTCAGGACTTTAGAAACATCCGTTTCAAACATGAAGAGTCTGAAATCACAGTGGCAGCAAGTATAACAATGACAATGATTTTAATAGCATTTTGTAGTACATTTGTCACATTGCTTCTTCACGCCAAGGCGAACTGACCATGATATACTCATATGAACATTTATCGGAGTGCCATGTATCAGAATGAAAAAAAGTTCGAAAGAATGCAACCAAAGCGAACACTTTCAGTAATACGCTTTTGCTACGAAAAATCCGTGTCTGAGTTCCAATGAATGCAACTTTAATTTCACGGTAGGTTGTTCGCGTATACACGTATCGAATTTCCCTTTAATAAAAAGTTTCACAAACCGATAGAAAAATGCCCTCCACAGTGACCTGAGGACTTAGCTCTTTTTTGGTAGTTTACTGTCAACAAATCCTTGGAAAACTGGTAAGATGCCAAACATGAAACGTGTGGTATGATTAAGATGGGCTTAAATCCGGAATACTGCGCAGATCTGAGCTAACAATTCATAACAAATAGATAGCAATATTGCATTCTGAATAGTTCGTCATGTCAAGAGGATTTACTCCGATATCCCGAACATCGCACCACAGGAAAAATGATGCGGTCTGTCTGAAGAGATTCGGTTGAGTTTGTCACGGGCGCTATTGTAGTTCACAAATGAGTAGCCTGTGGCCAATGCGAATGACACGATCTCGCGGAATACGCCCTCATTAGGTACCCAAAGAATTACTAATGGGCTGTCGAAGATATTCCGGCAGCCGTTCGCGTAGTTTGTTTTCCCATGAAAATGTGCTCCATCCTATACCTGATTCTCATTCAAAGGATCTTAGCCTGGATTTTTATTATTATTTCGGTGACAAACTTGTCCGTTGCTGTCCACCCCCATTTATGCTTTTTCATGTTTTAGCTCAACTGCGTTGTGATTCGCGGCTTCAATGATGACGAAATATGCGACTTTGTGGGACTTACAAAGCATTTGGTAAGTCATTTGCCGTTTTCATTGCAACGAAATTTTCTGCGTTTTATATGTCGTCCGCTTGTGTCTCATCTCCAAATGAAGAGTGGACTAGTGATCGACTTTTCATTTATACAGAATTTGACACTCCCCCCTCTAACCTGAAGTGTCTATCGCCATCACATACAGAAATGGACTATTCGAAACGTCTTAACCCTTTTTTATATGAAGTACCTCATGTTGACTTGTTTCTGCCAGCAACCTAGTACACAGTACGCGACTGGAAAATCTGCCACGTGTAATCTGAGAGACCTACCAAGTCCACGTTGGAAGAGGGAGTTTCGGTGGATGTACTTAGAATACACCTACCTCATGGATATTTTCTAACTGTTCCGACAACCTGATGCAACTGTGAAACCTCCTCTGGATAGCAATATCCCTAAGCTAATTGCGTAACACTGTGAATTCGGAAGCTTGAGATAGCAGAACAATTTCATGTGGTTTATCAAAGCACGTGAAAACCCTGAGCTAATTATTTGGAACCAAGTTTGGAACACCCAAGACCCATATGAAGAGCTACGGAAAACTGCTATTCTAGGTTGGATTGGTTTATAAGACGCAATGCGATACCTAGTAAAGGCTTACTGTTAACTAGGTACTCTGTAACACTCAACAAACCTCCCCGTGTGTAAAATTTCCTGTGATCCAAACACAACAAACAAGCCATCGATTGCTGGTTTTAGTGTGAGTTACAGCTCTTCGCGACTTCATAAAATTGAATTTGTGTGGCATGAAAACTACTCTATAACGACTCCACACTTGGGGAAGCCTTGCCAACAGGGGGACCTGGGTTAACCCTTCTGGTCGGACAACAAGACAGAAATCCATGTAGCCTAATTTACGCCAGTTCGTCCTACAAAGAATCATAAAACTGTAGACTTGTGAATGGAAAGTAAACATTCAGCATCCAATCACAAAGACCGCATCGGTTTTTTTTATTAGTATTCCGCATTGAACTACACAGCACCAACTTCACTTGGCAGTGTGCACCGTTTGGGTGACAGCAGCACGTTGGTTTTTTTCATCAAAAATGTAAAAAGGTTCGCTGTTTTACTAATCTAGTGTGTACACAAAAGGTCCACTTGTTGAACCCAGCATACCCGGAAAAACATATTCCTTGTCATGTATTCTAGGCTTATAGATGGATGATGCAGCGTGTGACACCAGCTTGTACAGGCACAGTCTGTACTGGTTGTCATTCGATACCAAGCTGCACATTTTGAAATTATGGACAAACGTTATCAAGTGTTACTGTCAAGTGTTTACTGAAAATTGTGTCACATCCGCTAGGGTGGCTAAGTACATCTGTTTGCAAGATTTCACTTGCTGCATAGTCCTTTATCGAAACATATAAGCCGACCATCAGAAGATGGGACTAAAATGTGGTTGGAAGTAAAATTCGTTTCATCCGCTGGTGTGTCACTTTGCCTCGTTAGCTTGCCTATTTATGTTATCCACTCATTGTTCACACTGTTTGGTTTGACACCGAAAACAATTTCTATGTTTTGGTTGACTTCATAGGTCAAACACGAAGTCTATGTACTTTATCATAAAGGTAGCTGGAATTTTATGGAGACAGTAGAACTATTTAGCGAGAGACATGTCAAAGTGACTCCCACTCGGGTTGTTGGACAACTGTATGGAAGTTTAATGAGGGAAACGCGAGTGAAGGAAAAATAAAACACGGTAAGCAAGGGAGTGTTGTGGAAGAATCGATACTACGTGCTACCTTATGCAGTAGCAAAAGTTTTTGACTCACTAGTTTTCGACGTCTAGCTTCTCTTTGTGAACAACCCTTTTCGTCAGTCATGGTGAACCTGAACAGGCGAAACAAGTGTAGAGACTTGGCAGCATCTGTGTAGAATATCGACGGATGATATTAGCCTAGTGAATAGTGAAGTTTCTGGGACGTGCTAGTTACCGACCAGTTGACCGTTCAGCTGGGTGGGAGAGCACCGCTTCTGTGTATCTGGGTGTGGGTGATTATGAAAATCACGCGTGTGTGCAATACTCTTCCCAATATGAGGCTGAGGATTCTGGCCGAAGTTCAAACAGCCTCTCTAGTCCATGTGTTAGGGAGGGGGGGGGGTGTAGCGGACTGTGCCAAGTGAAGGAAAAATAAAACACGGTAAGCAAGGGAGTGTTGTGGAAGAATCGATACTACGTGCTACCTTATGCAGTAGCAAAAGTTTTTGACTCACTAGTTTTCGACGTCTAGCTTCTCTTTGTGAACAACCCTTTTCGTCAGTCATGGTGAACCTGAACAGGCGAAACAAGTGTAGAGACTTGGCAGCATCTGTGTAGAATATCGACGGATGATATTAGCCTAGTGAATAGTGAAGTTTCTGGGACGTGCTAGTTACCGACCAGTTGACCGTTCAGCTGGGTGGGAGAGCACCGCTTCTGTGTATCTGGGTGTGGGTGATTATGAAAATCACGCGTGTGTGCAATACTCTTCCCAATATGAGGCTGAGGATTCTGGCCGAAGTTCAAACAGCCTCTCTAGTCCATGTGTTAGGGAGGGGGGGGGGTTGTAGCGTGACTGTGCCAACTAGTTACGACCTCTACAACAGCCTTCAGTACCCCCAAATGGATGCGGTGTTATCCACTGAATGAAGATTGATTTTACGCACAACCATGCTAGCCCACGTAGTGTGCTCCATGTTCACAATTCTTACTGAAAAATCCCATACACGGTGAGTCGGCTAAGAATGATCTGGAAAATGGCCACTATGTTCGCCTCATCATCTCACTCCACTCGACTTTTTCCCATCGCGTTATGGTAAAAGGAATTTGTAGCACGCTAGACCAGAAAACTTCGAACATGTGAAGATATTGATTGATAGTGACATAAATTAGAACGTGCCGCGCACCCTACGAAAGCTTGATAGCGGCCCATTTAAAAATGCAACTGAACAAGTGAAATTTTGATTATGGCAGTCAAATTCAGTACAGCACTACAAAACTCTGAACGCGTGTGACAAAATCCACGCAGTGGTGCCTTCTCTGTTCCTTTCTTCCTTAAGAGTGTAAAAGCATCCGATAAAGTACCAAAAATATAAAATATCGGAGAGTTCACGCCACTATCCGTCATAATCTGTATCGTTTCCATTTGTTTCTATCTTAAGGCAGACAATAACGTCACCATTGCCCTCAGTGGGATGTCCAGCAAGGGGGACTATGGCACTGTTGTAAAGTGCCCACGTAATAAAAAAAACCTTTTGTGGTCAGAATATCTCTCTTTGTCAAAATATTTAGATCTGTGCTTACCATATAGGACGGCTTTTTTCATGATATTAAAGATCGAAATGGTTTTCAGCAATCAATTCAGGTCATTCCTGACTTCTAACTTTACCAGAATGACGTCAGATTGACTAATAAGTAATATCCCATTTGCCGTCAGCTGTCAACGGAAGCAGTGATTTGGATAATTTCGTATTTCACCAAATTAATTAGTGCTGGAACTGCTCATGCTGTCACTGGTATGTCAAAAGAATTGGGCTTCGGCCTTTGGATGAAGCAAAGATCAAGATTCACTGCAGTGCGGTACGAATGCTTCAGTACGGTACAGCTGTTTTGCAGATGCCCCACTCAGATATTCTGGCCTCCAGCTAGTCCAGCAATGATTCACCACTTGACGTAAAGTAGATCACTCTACTTAAGTTTTTTACGCAAACGCTAGGCGTGGTTTCACAATTAAAACAACTGCCAAGCGCAATGTAAAGGCTCACATCAGATGAAAAAGCGTACTAGTGAATCGGTTCTCAAGTCATTCTATCCATTGTCACTCACCTTCAAGGCTGTTCCGACTATGTGACACGACGTCTGAAGACTGAAAATCGTCCAACTGTCGGAAGAGTTAACTGAATATAGTCAGCTGCACCGGTATCTTATAATGAATTATTTAGCTACGACGAACACCCATCTGTCAGACCCCTGAAGAAAAAATGTCCGCATCTGGTGACCGTTTTCGCCTCATTTGCAGCCATGCGAGCTCATCGCTACTAGACACACTCACTCTCTGAAAGGCGGGATTTTCACTAAGTGGCTTGGACGAAGCTGAGAACCGTCAAGAAAACAAGATCGAAAATAGGCAAGCTTACATGTTCACCTGCTGATTGACAGATGATCCAAAAACTCCAGTCCAGCAATAAAAGACACTAATGTCGGGAGGAAAAGCATAGTAAATAGAACGGGTAAAATAGTCTCAGTCTGGATGTGATCCTATTAACTGGAGAACCGATTTCCTCACTGAAGGGGTATTTACTTTTGGTCTAAAGCCACATGTTTTAATCCAATTAACGAGAGGTTTAACAGATCACCATCAAATAAGAAAAACGCAGATCTATCACCAATGAAACGGTACCTTTGTCTGACTCACCAACACCGGACAAAGATATCACAGTTCAACTTCCAACTCCCCCTCGTTTGGTAACGGCAAGGAGATAAGGAGGAAGTAGATGGTGTGTGCCAGTTAAGTTCATATCTTTCGTTTTAAAACGCGCCGACATTTTTTAAACAATGTCTCAATCAGGAATACGAAATCCTGTGGTTTAGAAACGTAGGGTGACCAGGTGTCGTATTGAGTTGTCGGAAAATGGCGTGCAAACATCCAGCTTCATGTTGGAATCTGAACATGACTTTGACTATCCTAACTTTACATCAAGTTACTTCCAGATGGTGGTGAATCATAATTTTAATCGACCAAACTCAATAATTTTGTCCAAAGAAGTTATGAAAACTGAAAGAGTGGCGTCATTTGAAAAATATTTGGATGGTCCGCAAATTGTAGTCGAAGTCTGCTAACCGGTGTCAAAGATTGAATTAACTGGACAACTGGCCATTTCATTCAGCTTACGATTAACTTCCGACGTACTGACTCCCACTGACTTGGATAAAATAACGTATGAAGGATGCCCGCCTACAACTGTTTTATGGGCACTGTGTTACAATCTCTCCATCATCTTTGTAAGTTGCTGACTCTTGAGTCTACAAAGACTTCATGAACAGCAGACAGACTGCTTCCGAAAGCCTAAGCCTTCAGAAGATCAGCAAAAAAGTTTACACAGTGGAATGTGACTACAGTCGATAGATGCATCAAATCCTTGGATCTTTTAACTCCTGCCTCATGTATACGGTACCAGTAGAGCAGTACTGCTCCTAAGCCGCTCATCTTCCAACCGATTTCTAATAAACCGCCAGTTGTATTGGTTCACAGTGAACACATATGGAGCATGGTCATGTCACTGTCTTAAGCTTTGCTTTCGGTGTTTTCTTCCAACTTTGTTTTAAAATTCAACCATTGGTTTTGTTCATTTCCCGCCTAGCCAATCGAATTACGTTTCATTGAGTTTATGCCATTTGGGGGGAACAACTGGGATACAGAGAAACTGGTCAGCTACAAGGAAATGTTGAATACCATAAGGAAGGTTTACCCTGATTTGTATCCACTGCCAGTTCCTTTTTCGAATACTGCAAAGGTACGTCATGCCCAAATTTCGTTTGTCTTATACTTGCACACCTAAAAGTCTCCTATTGGGACATGAGATGTTGTTCGCCCTAAAAAGAAACTATTCACAAGGTTGCTGAAAATTCCTCGACACCCCACGACCGGCCTTGCCTTTCTTAGGGTTTATCAGTTCCGGGTTTCTGTTAACTTTATGTTCTACTTGAACCCGAATGTCACGAAATTAGCGAAATACACTCATTTGCAAACAAATTTAGTTTTTCGAGAGACTCACCTAGAACCCAGCTGGATCTCTCGTTTGTGACGTTCAGTTGTTATGATATTCGAGGTATCGCAGCACATGTATAGACATAACACACTGTTCACGAGATGCTGAAAATTCTTTGACCGCCCAAAACGGGTTTCGCCCTTCTTACGACTGACCCATCAGATAGACGCAGCCACTCACAGTTTTACTTCAGATGTTTTCATCAATGTTCAGCCCCTGAAAATGCCGCACCTGGCAACTTAAAAGTGACACGAACCTGTGGCTTTATCTACTGTCCAGCCGGATCCAAATAAATCTGGTCGACCCAGTTGTTGTTATTTCTTTTCACGCGAGATTTTTGTCATGAAACTGAGGCTAATGAGGATTTCTTGGTGCAATTAGTGCCCTTCTCCCTGTGTCGTTTCGTTACACCCAAGAACAGGCTCCTTACTATTGCGAAGCCTTTACCAAGAGTTTGTGCCTTCCATTGCTCTAAGACAGTTAGTTGGTGCTTCTCTGGGCATTCATCATATTTTCCCTTTTAATGTGATTTGTTGAAATGAGCAGGGTTATCCGCGGAAAGAAGTTATTGCACAATTTTCCACTTTATTTCAGTACTAGTGCGGCATTTACCTCACCTCTCACTCTTGTTGAGGCTTATGAGTAGTGGTTTCAAGTGACCGCGGACTTGGGCATCCAACCTCCTCATCAGATGAGCACATATCGTTGTTTGGCAAATTGCATGCTTTTTCTGTAAAACACGACCCCATAGTCTGTAAGACATAACAAAAGCAGCAAATTAACACAGGTTTAAGTGTTCCCTTCAGTTCGGAAAAGTAGAATTTCGAGCCTGTTAGTAAGAACACGAGCACCCTGAGCAAATTTGGCAGTCCTTATCTGTGAAGCCACTCCTCTTATCCTAACAACGTGAGGGTCTAACTGCGTTCCTACACAATCGTGGTAGGATAGGCCCTTAGGATACGGGTAGGCTCAAAGATAAAAACAATGAATGCTGGAAGAGCTCATTCTGTGTGACAAAAATAGGGCTACCCTATGAGCACCTAGTGACTGAATCCTCCTGGATACCCATAGCACGATATGCCTACCTGATTTATCAACTGTTTCACAACATTTTTGCGACAATTTCTGCCCTCACGAATACACTATATGTCCTGCAACAATGCATAGCAAGTTACTTGACGACAATTTTTTTCAGTTGAGAAGACCATATTTGCATATGAGGTCATTTCCATTGGTCAAGTGCACTAACCACTTTCATTCATCCCCACAAATAACTACAGCTCTACCGTGTAAACGATTGGCCGGGTACTGTAGGTTTCATCACCTCAATGACGGAAAACTTTTGTTCAAATTGCTCCCGCCTCCGTCTGACTGCCGACGGGCATTTGAAAACGTGCCTTCATGGAGAGGAAGAGGTTGATTTGATCAAGGTTATCCAGCAGTACCCGTTAGAAGCAGCAGACTGGAAAGATTCGGCTGTTTCGCTTTTTCATTCACAAGTGCCGCAGACCAAGCTCGAAATGGTTCTCGCCAGTCTAGACGAAAAGGTGGATATAGCGCTGGCCAGAAAGGCACCGGAGCATGCAGGTGAGTAGCTGAAGTCGACAGATCCACATGCATCCAACGTGTATTTTTATCTGTGACGTTTAACTTTGAACAAATTCTAACATACGCTGAAAAATATAACACCAAATATATTCCAGCTCGTAATCATCAAACATAAGGATTAATCCATTTTGCTGCTGGTACTTGCAGCAGCAAAAGGCTTGATAGGCTGGTCCCATCTCGATGGACCACTAACTTTTGTTCGTCTATTGGAGCCTACTTTAGTTATAAGGTACCTTCAAGTTGAGAGAGATAATTTCTATGGATTTACTGATTTGGTTCCACATAAGGGTGACAACCAAACTGTTTTTCCACGGAGCACCAGTGATTATGTTTCACTTTATTTAGTTATGTTGTTGTCAGTAGTATCGACGTAGTCAGTGTGCCTGAACATTTTTATGGTCTTCTTAGTGCGCTAGAATAGCGAGACAATTAAGGTCAGCTGGTAGAAACTCCCCGCAAGTGGTAAGAATAATTTTTCATGCCGTAGACAGTAATATCGTCTGAAATCTAGCTATTGTTGATTAAAAGTTCATGCTCGCCGTGAGTTGCGGCAGTTAACAAGATGATAAGTTATAATTATCCGAACATCATAACTCTTTCGTTGACGATATTTTACCATAGTACTAATAACGTTTTGGTAATTTACTAGTAATAATAGTAAACCTATTTTAAAGCCGTTTTGACATCCTTCTGCAGGTAGTTTATCGCCAAAACATAAAGTGATACGATCAAAAGTCTAGGGTTGGGTCCTCACTTCGGACCTTCCGGTTAGTAGAATCGCCGCTTAACCTCCAAGCTATATCAGGCTCAGTTGGAAACACTGGGGAGTTATTCATGTTTTGTGAGTTAGGTGAGAACTTTAAGATTTTTCACAAAAATCTAATCCGAAAACCGAGGATAATTTGGTGTGTGCCAGTGACGTCCCAGTAATAACTGGGAAGTTATTCAAAGCACCGGATCAATCCACTGTCAGGTGCTCCAAATTCCACCGGGATTGTCTCAAGTCTGGAAGACGAAGGTGAATGTCTATATGAAAATAGGTAATAGAATTTACGAAACACTGATTGATTATTACAGATAAGTTGGATAAGCAATGGGTAGTCGAATTTCAAGAGTAAAACTAATAGCTCATCAGTGCGCAGATACGTCAAACGTCCAAGTACTTTCAGTCCAAGGCCTGCTTCTTTGACTGATGTACGTCTGCGGCTTAGATTCCAATCAGTCGCTCCATACATGAAAAATAGCTTCCCATTGTGATAGCCCAAGGGATGACAAACAGTGACCAAGAAATTGAGACTTCAAGGGAACATTCATTTACAGGGAGTTCGTACTCGCTAGTGAGCCACATTATAAATATTGTCCCCAGTCTAAGTGTGATGCATTGATCATCCGGTGGAGAAACACAGTATTATACTCTGTACGTGGATAACTTTTATGGAATAAAACTGTGGATTAGTGTATTTGAAAGTGATATTAGAATTCTCCACCCACTCACTAGTCAGTTATGAATCCCGAAATTCCTCGTCTCTCATGTAAAGTCGCATCGTTTTAGAAATATAGTCACATGTCAAAGTAATTCGCTTCTGGGTTCCAAAACTCGCTTTGTGAGTTGACTAGGACAGCAAATTATCTTGATGTTCTTGCAAGGAATGTTCTTCACGAAATCGCCAACTGTGGAGAAGATGATATTTAGTGGGCAGGCAGGAAAAGGCAATTCTACCTGGTTTCCTAAACTGCTTTCCATGGGATTTCAGCAAAAAGCTCAGCAACACCACACAATACCATATGCATACGACATGTACGCAGAAATCCTCCATGGCGAGACACTTGATTGAGAAAACTACTAGACAGTACAAGTACAAAGGACAAGTAGTTTTACACTCCTAAGATTATTTTCCGTCCTCTCCTACCATAAGACTGCTTCTGTTAACAGTTAATTGCGGGCAAGATTTAAGGATGGAAAATTAACGCCGAGGGGGCACTGGTAAATTAAACCACAGCCACCGTTCCTAGATCCCCTAGAACTTGGTATTCACTATTAGTTCGTGATTAGCAGGGCTACACAAACCACGCCGTAATCGCGATTTCCGATCGGCGATGAGTAGCTGCCTTTACAGTTTACCCAAATACCGACCCGGTGACTTGGAATTGCTGTTCTCATGTTGACTGTTCTAATGCTAGAAAACAGCCTTTGGAGTGGTTATTAAAACACGAGCAATGTGATATTACAGAGAAAGCACATTGTGTGGATAGTAACTTGGTCCTTAACCGCCATCATGCTAATCTCTTAATGCGATGACTGGTGATCTCGAATCATCTTTTCACTCAGGTAGAAACTCTGTAGGGAAACAAATCAGGATAATCCGAAATTGGTAGAACATAGTAACTAGTCCCGTAGAACAGCCATCCGCCTGATTAAAGAGATCACACCTGGGGTTTCCAAAACAGGCCTATGTGTATATGAGAATGGCCTTCATTAGGTGAAACAGGTTTCCTTGAATGTTGAGCACCTAATTCTCCGCTCTTGAGTCTGCTTACCCTAAAACTGCTTGTAGACATTGTTGTTCTCATGCACACATTGTGTCACTATACTGGTCTTTCCCAAGCGGTTTACCAGTGAGTACAACATTTTGACAAGTACCAGTTTTATCAACAGGTATTATCTAGAAATTGTTGGGCATGATGTTCCAATAATTTTATTCTAAGCAGTGGCACGTTTATCGGCGAAAATAGTTCGGGCTTGTTCATTTTACTTGCTTATAGGCAAGTGTGAAAACAGAGAAGGAAATTACAAAGCCCGTGAACGCAAATGTGAGATGCTCAACAGAACGGTACTCATTGCGACATCCTTGGTGATTTATTTCGTCCCGCCAGTGTTTAGGACCTACACAGAGCTGATTCAATACCAAGTGGAGATTGTCCCCACCGACTATCCCTTTTCTTTCACTTCAATTTTTACCTCTCAAGAGAAAAAGACCTCAATTTTCATCACAAGCTGTTAACTGACAGCATTTCCCCTTCATCCTCACACTACTCCTCTAAGCTGCGATGTGTTTAGTCCTGGATGGACGAATTTTACACCAGCGGGGTAGCACACGCGTGCAGCCATTCAGTCGCAGTGAAAATACTGGTGACTAAAATGCTTTTGAATGCAGAACTTAAAAAAAACACCTCTGCGGTCTTTTGGAACCATGATCACTGTAAAAGCACAGTTCACCACGTACCAACTCAAACGGATAACTACTTAAACCTTAACTCTGCTCACCCATTTGGTATGGAGGGATTAAAATCCGCACAATGGCTCACCGAGTGCCTATAAGCTGTTGTAGAACTACTTTTTCAGAAAAGATGTTTACTTATACTAAACAAATATTGTGAAACACGGGGTATCCAACAGGCTTCAGCCGCCCAATCAAGGCACAACAGCGAGATCCAGATTAGAACCAACCGATATGATGCGGATACCGCACCGATAACATAAATCTGAAATTATCCGTTACCTACTCTCCAATCTCAAATTCTGCACCACTTTCTCAATGGACAACACACCGCAGAGACAACTGATTCGCCGTAGCAAATGTGTCCACAAGATTGATTGCACCAATTCTCTTGTGTTTACATTGGGCAAACCAACAAACTCTTGAAGGTCCGAGTATAAACGACATTCTCGAGCCCTTCCAAGAAGCGTTAACAAATTGAACAAGGTGAAGCGTGACTGAGCGAGCGCACTCCATGCATCAACTGAAGAACACCGGGTGAAAACTGATAAGTGCATATACTGCAGCAAAGTCTCGACGTAGGCCCACAAAGGTGCTATGCTGAATCAGTTTCTTATCCCATAGTGCATCCGTGCGTAAACAGGTCAGAGAGTATCGAGTTAACTGCCATTTGATCCAGCCTATTCGATTAAACAAAGGTGACCCAAGCGCGACGGACCGCAAGTATTGATCGCCATCCTAAAACATCCTCATTAGAAGCGACATCAGTTATGGGGGTAAGCGACAGGCATGGGAGCAGTTGATCTTGATTCCCGAGATAGTTCATACGATGACAGACGGTGTCAAACCGAATGCAGCTGAGTGCACTCGAGATGTACATAGTTGTGACGTTTTACATACGCGAACTCCGGGGCCAGATGATGTTCTAATTCGTTGGAATGCAACAGTTTCAGTGCATTAAAAACCGGTTTCCTCTCTTACACAATGTCGTGGTCGACCCTTAACGGGTCTTAACGGGGTCTCCGAATCTGTTATCCCGCAGTAGACATCCACCCACGTCAAATGCCTGAGGTACCGGAACCAGTTGCTAAACCTGAAGATGAGATACTATCCCGTGTTAACTGTCTTCTGATAATGCAGCCTTACATAAGCAGCCGAACTGGCAAATCAGTTACCAAGACAAGAACACTTTCAGTTCGTCTTTAGAAATTTCTTTTTCGATGAAACTACTGCTTGACGGCAGCATGCCCTCAAGAATTCCAACCTCCTCAACAAATGTATCCTGCTGTGTGAAAAACATATTTGTGCCGCACTAGAGCAAAGCAGGTGATCTTCAATCAGTGCCAAATTCAGGTCAGTTTTTGATACACAGAACGGGATATAGTGCCACCGAAATTTCTAGTGACCAGATTGTCCAAAAGGGAAGGTGTGCTGTCATCCCCAAACTCACATGGGGAAGAAACGGCTTGGTTGACGGTAGTGTCCAGCCTCTCTCGGTGATCGTGATAAGCGAACCATTCTTCAGCTACGTTTTATGCCCATCTGTGTTGATTTCCTGGCGTTGGCCATCAAAACTTCGGTGAAGGTGGCAAGGCTATCAATAAACGACGCCATGTTGATCAAAACTGACATTTTTAGACCACAGCAAACTAATGTCTTCGGAGGTATGAATCGGGACTTCAAATGACTTTCCAAAAACTTCACAGATTCAATAAGAGGGACCTTAGCAAATGGTGAATACTTGTCATACTAACAGATAACATCTGGAAGAATGATAATGTGTAGGTTAAAAGTTCGTAAACTACCTTTAATTAATGTTCATCACTGAGTATTTTAACGGCTCTAAGAGTAACTTTTAGGTGTTTTTCTGAGTGGTGGCAGCGCGAACCGTTCATAGCTGAAGTTGATCAAGTGGGTATCTTGCGTCCGTGGGTTTAATGGCCGTAAGTTTAATGGCCCTCAGGTTTTAACATAGTAAACTCTTCTGAGATGAAACAAGTGAATGAATTACTGACAACCTTTGACTGATTTGTTTCTAAACAAACAGCACCTTGTCTGGTGGTTTACTTGGGAGGCACCTGGATGCATTGACTAAGATAATGTCCAGTACGGACATATAATCCACTTCAGTTTGGATAACGGTGCTGGTTTTGCTATATGGATACAGTATGATACTCTAGTTCCTGATCAGCTATAGTTTAAGTTCCATGTATTCTGTGAAAGCAAAGTTTTGGTACGACGGAAATTTTTACTAACATTGCTCAGTTTTGCATTGAGTTGCTTGTTGTTTTCGGGCGGTAGCACCCGGAGTCTGGCTTCTGCGTAGTACGCCTAGTTTTTCTGTGCGGAATTTCGAAGTTGAGTTTCAGAGCTTCCGGATGACGTTGACTTGCGTTTGAACCTATGCTTCTCTGGTAGAAAGTCTCTTTAGACCTAGTTTCACATAGTTTGCTTCCCTATTTTGTTCGTATATAATTCACTAAAGCGTGTTAACAAATGACAAGTTTAATTAGACATTTAGCGACCCAGAATTGATACCGAGTGTCATTATGATCTGAGGATGCATCGTGAGATAAACGAAGACATTCCAGATTCAGAGGGATTTCATTTTGTCACTCATGATTGGGTGTACCGTAAAACCTTACTGGATACATTTGAAGAATAATCATTTCGAACACATTCTTCACAGAAAGCTGCACTACAGTTTTGCGGGAATTTGGACCGGGCACGTACTAAACGATACAAAATATGGGATAAAATTGAAGGCATTGGATACCTAATGCTTTGAAGCATTGAGACCCAAAATCAGTTGGAACCGGGTGGCAGAAAAAACAGCTGTTTACTCGTGGTCAGGCGTTAGGGTGATGTCTAGCTGCCTAGAACGATCATTGTCAACCGTTTTCTAGCGATTGCTGACTTGTGTTTTAACCGCTGTTTGTTACTACGTCCGAAACAACATACCAGGATAAATTGCAATCTGGAAAAGTTAAGCTTACAGTGGAATCAGAAATAACTCTGCTTGTCCCATCTCACAGAACCCAAACCAGCTGTCTCTTATTTCTAGTAAACCTGCGGAGTATGGCGTTGTTGTGATTTATGAATTATCCTAATCGATAGTCCACTAACACTGTTTGGCCCTAATGAGCTGGTGATCATGGACTGTCAGTTCGACCCGTTGACTGTTTTTCTCCTCTTTTGCTTTATTTCGAGTAAATTTCCCATGTGTTTACCTTTTCAACTGTCGTTTCATCACACTACATCAGATTGTTCTGTGCGAACTGCTATAACAGGGAAAATGGGTTATATCATATAAACTACACTTAGTTTAACAGAGCCGGCTGAAAATTAGCCTAATTAAGGTAGCCATCAAACGTACCACACATCCACATGAGATCATTATCATCGTATAGACCTATCAGAAAACTCACTCAGTGTTACATTGTATTTTTTTTGTCGCTGATTTCAGGCATGAATCAGCTGGCCACCGGGAAGAACCGATCCATGATACGCATTGGTGGATAGAGTGACAAGAAAGCAAAAAAGTCTAATTGTTCAGATACCACTGAAGTGTTATTTATTTATTGGTAAAATAAAATGGTTTTCTGTCAAAGTATGTTTTTAATCTTTTCTTTGAGAGTATGTCTCCGTTGCCACAACTTTCGGACTTTATTATTTGGGATGGGTTGTCTCAATCCTCCAACTACGTGCCCCTCACGAAACTTGTCAGCCGAAACTAGCAGACTTTGAACACTGATGTTCAAAAGTACCTTATCGACATGTAGTTGTGAACATGTCTGCACCTATGAAACTGCCAGGAAACTTAAACATTTGCAAGCCCGCCAATACATCACGCTTATGGGAGCTAGCTCAATGAGTGTTATGTGTGAACAGGACACAAGATTAACTCAAGCGCATGTATCTGGTTCTGCACTGATTTTAAACAAGTCGAGTAGGACTGAAGGATATTTTATCACATACGTCCGATGTGATTCCAATAATTGATCCAAACCAGAGGTAAGAAGTCAACTGACGGAAAAACAAACTGTATGCAAATATGCTGGCATGGTGAAACCCACGATTGTCCAGCAACCCAACGAGTGTAAACCAGGTGGTGTGATACAAGATGTCTAGTTGGAGATTACCAATTTATGCAGATTGGAAATCTACATGCAACACACATGCCACACAAATACACTTGAGGATAAAAAATATAAAGAAGCACACAACCGATTTGATCAAATAAGGAGATCTAGTCCTTTGATCTTGACATTGTCTACTCGGCATCCGATTGCTGCTTCAAGTTCTGCCAAGTGTTGAGGACTGGTTTTAGTCAAAAATTTGTCTTGCTCTCGTTAAGTACTCTTTCGTATTTTACGAGACGGTTGTGGGCATCTGTTATCATTAACTTAAACCTAGAAAGACAGTATGGCAGGCGAATGGTTAAGTTAACGATAACAGATGCCCACAACCGTCTCGTAAAATACGAAAGAGTACTTAACGAGTGCAAGACAGATTGTTTGACTAAAACCAGTCCTCAACACTTAGCAGAGCTTGAAGCAGCAGTCGGACGCCGAGTAGAAAATGTCAAGATCAAACGCAGAACAGCCATGGAGACAAAATTGCGCAAGTTCACGAGGAACAACAAACACAATAATTACAACGCTTGGATCAAGAACTTATCTGGCCGTCAACTCAGCACAGCTGAACAGGAACTGCTAATGAAAGGACCCAAGTTCACCGTCGAAGACGCATCTTACAAGGATTACCTAGCCAGCTTAGAACATGCCCTGAAAACAAACGAAATGTCTGAGGAGGTTTAACAACAGACAATCGACAGACAATCGTACCGGCGATCACACGGAATAGAACCATGCAACTGATTTCGAAACAAGGACGAGACGCACTCACAAGTCTACGAAAAGATGAAACAATCGTAATACTACCGGCAGACAAAGGACGCATCACGGTGATAGTGGACAAGCCAGATTACATTGAAAAAGCCCTAGCAAGATATAGGCCTTTTTGCACTCAGCGACGCAAGCGAATAAAAGAACGAATTTCCCATTCGGGTTGTTGTAGAATAAACACCAAGCCGAAATCAGAGTATTCTGCACCTTCTGAGCAGACCTGGATTTTTTGACATACTGGAAACGAGGCTATGGAACAGATCCTCACCTATTTTTAAAACGCTCTTGTAAATCGTTAGACGCAGACGCTTAGTGCTCAGAACTTTAGTTGTCATATATGATCTTTCTCAGATGCCTAGCAGTCCGAAGAAAGTCCCTTGTGTCCAGGGCACTCTTGTCAAAGCTGTTGCGTTTTTATCTTGTGGTTTTACTTGCTTTACAGAGACCCTTCGTGGTGTTTATATTACCCTTAGGATAAGAAACAGATTTTTCCTATCAAACTTTACATCCTGGTGAAGATAATTAAAGTTGGGTGGAAACGAAGCCCATTTCATATCGATCTGCAATAATTCCACCTTCTAAACACCTTACCACAAATAATCTTTTGTCAATATTCCCGACCAGCACTGAATTGTACAAAACCATTTACTCGTTCGTTTTCATGTTGTACAAAGAACCTGCCCGTATGTGGTAATTTGAGGATCTTTGCTCCAGTCCATCTTCGTTGTTGCACCCCATCATGCTTTTGTCCCTTGCGTAGGCTGAAATGAGCTTCCGTTCGCGTTACTTTCCGACTTTCTTGATAAGTCTAGGCAGTCACCATCAAGTTGCAAATCCTCATCTGAACTCCTATTCAATTCTACCGAGAGTAAACACACCTTCCCCAGTATAGTTAGCCAACTTCAACTACAGTGGTGGTTTTCTTAAAATAGCCTTTCTCTTTGTCTTCCTTGCTCGAACGATGCGTTTATAGTGGTAGAGCAAACTGCCTACTCAGAGACAAAACCAAGCGCTCCAAAAACGGCAGGATATCTTCGATAAGCTCACATTATTCGTTATGCCCCTTTCTTTTTCAACATCATGCCGCTACGAAAGACATGGAACATTGAGCATGCAACGAGCAATTCTAAATGGTACTGCCTATTGGAGAGGCGTACTAGTTTCACGCGCGTATTTTGTAATTACATGCGTACACAAATGTTTATTCTACTACCTTTAATCACTCTGAAATAATATAATATGTGGTGCTTAACAAGACCAACTGCAAACTTCAGTAGTGACATTCAGTTGCGTTTAAATCAAAGTCGTTTGTAACTCGACACTACGCAGTGTCAATAATCAGTCAGTACCGTCTGTGCTGATTCTTGTTAATACACAGATATCAGGTAATTACCATGAGATGTTCACGTGCTTCCGACTAGTTACAAAGTCAGTCATTCGTCTGAGGTCACAACCGAAATTTCCAGATGTCGGAATTCGTCGCATCGGCACAGTGAAATTAGCTTATTCTGTGGGGTCTTTCGTGTTAACAGACTGTTGTGACCGCTGTTTGTTGCTGGGTCTTAGGTTCAGGAGCTAGTTCGGGTCATGATGTACTTCAACACCAATAAAACACACAAGCCACTGTTTCCAAGTATTTTCCATTTGCATAGAAATGTGGAATCACTGGTTTTATTCTTTAAAACCTAAGCTTCGAAAATGTAATGTGAATGGAATACAAGAGATGACAACTTCACTCTTACGGGAGATGTTCAGCTTGAATGCACGGATGGATTTTACCCAGAGTAAGATATTTTTTCAGTGTGACTCGATGTATGATTGTGGTCGAAGACTTCATTCATAAACATGACGTGGTTCAATATGAATCACAGTATATTGCTCTAAACCAAAGATGCACAATGAGGGACTGTAGTTGAGTTGTAAATTTCCACTGTACACAAGTTTGACCCAAAAGAATATCAGCTGAACAGCTTACTACCGAAATTGAATTCATGTTCCTGCTGGATCAAAAAAAGCAGTTTTAGGGATAATTGGCATACACCCACTGGTCACGAACATTTTATTCAGAGAACTTATTTTCTTGATCAGGAAACGGAAACTGCTTCAGGTAACATACCTTAGTTGTCCCTCATATGTAAAAAAAGTGCTGAACATTAGGGTGACTGGTGACCAATTGCACTGCGAATACCAGGTTCGGGTTTATTAGGCGAGTGTTTTGGGCTAATTTAGCGAGCAATAGCGGTTGCTCCAACGTTTCAGCATACTATTTAGGATTTACCTCAACTTTGGGGAAATGTTTCGAAATCAGGTCGGGGTGATCTTCTGGTCACTGACCCAAGAGCTCAGTTTGATTAATAGTGAAACACTCGGAAAGAAACTGGTCGATGAATTAGCATACTTCGAAAGGAAGGTTGATTTTTCGAATACAGACGAGGGAAATATTTCCAGTGATTCAACAAATTGACCATTATGAAAGTCCATATCTGACTCCACAATAAGGGAGATTCAGGTAATAAACAGGCCTAGTGATTTTCAGGTAGTTTGGTTCATAGGTGACGAAATGACGATGGGGGTTCAGCAAGTGGAACAGTCCTAACAAGCGTAGAGTAGTATTCGAGAGAGTTGTCTTGTCCATTAACTCCGTGGGTATTTATTTAGCCTGGCGAAAATAGGCAAAATCACTAAGTTTCCCCATATTTACTGATCCAACTGATCATATATTGAAAGTCCTATTGATTTTCCTCAATACTTACGAGATACCTTATTTCTGTCCCAAATGCTTAAGATAAATTGAGTTGAATGGGATCTTCTGACGTCATCCGTGGTTCGTACCTTTTCAATACATCTCTTTACAAATGATTGCTTTATCTGAGACGATTAGGTCAGCAAAAAACAAAAACTTTACCCTCACCCAGTGGCTAAACATCCTCAGAAATGTGAGTTTCCATTGCATAACTAAAGTGTTCTGGTGGGACACTCCCGATACCACATTTTGGAACTGACACACTCACTAACCTAGAGAAAATATTCCAAGGTGCAAAGTGGCGGATCTTCGGTCTACTTATTAGCAACTTCAAGAAACATTCGAAACAGCGCTCATTTAGGCCACGAAGTGACGTAATGGTCCTACATAGGCAAGTATTCTCACGATGGATAGTTCATCATCATCGTCTCAGCTGTGAAAAAACGCCTAATTGCCGTAGAGTGCTTATAGCTGCCACAACTTCGTTCACCCATGATTTTGAGAGGCCAGCACATACCTCCGCGTTGTAGGCGGTTGTTGCCTAAATACAGGCCTGTCGGTGGACTTTCAAATGGGGAGCTACGTATTGAAGGCAATAGCTTGGATACACGAGCGCCATTGAAGGCGCGACTGAGACATATCTGACAATGTCTCTAACCATTGATGTGTCTCGTCTCGGTGTCCTCACACAGGGGGATGGCAACGATCAGCGCAAGTGACCTTACTGGTAATGGCTTTCATACATCGCCCCCAAGTCACTGTTTGACCTCTCTCTCATCCTTCACGTGTATGTGTGAAAAGAATCTTTCAAGAAATGCAGTCGAATGACACACAGAGCCGGCACAACCTATGGAGTGTGATCGTAGGGCGAGTAATCTCTTCAGAAAACTATTCGATGTACTTCAGGCATTACTGACCAGGTGTTCCCATCAGACTCGGACAATGCTTCAGAGACATCGATGGTCGAACAGTGAAGGAATTTTGACGTCCTTAGTGCACAGCGGCCAGGTTTCTAACCCGTATACTGACATGGAGCGCATTGCATTACTGTAAACTAGACCCTTGATGGATAAGCTGAGTCACACCTACGCCACAGGTGATGCAGGTATACCAAAGCTGCTCTTCCTTCCCAACCTGGATGGAAATACCATCTTTCGCGAGACCACTGGAACTGATGCAGCTTCCAAGCGGGGGAAATTTGTCCATTACTCCAATAGACTCTTCGTCATCAGCATGGATGGGGAGGGACTTAGTGCTAGCTTAACACAATCATTCCGAGGTGCCTACACCTCCAAACATTCACTCAGGCAATCTGGACAGAAACTGACAACAATAACGCCATTGACATCGGTTGGCAGCTATACCTTGTAGTGTCTGCAACCAGGCACAGTGAGGATCACGCGGTCCCCATCCTGGAAGGCGAGTAGCACCGACAGCACCCAAGCGTTTCGTGATCTCCTTCATACTACTCTGCCAAGTCAAGGGTTGGCCACCTCTCTGTTTACGCCACTCTGAATTGGGCATGGAAAACAGCACTCTCTTCGGCAAACGATGGTTCGGCATACGTAACACATGTCCCAACCAACGCAGCCTCTGGTGCTGGACACATTCTTCGATGGAAGTACCCGTTACACGACCGAAAACGCGCTTTCTAACTGCCTCATTACAGATTCGCCAACACCAACCCACACGAGCTATGGTTCTGAGACAAAGATTGTCGAACACCTGAAGACGTCTCAGTTCCGCTGCTCGAATAGGCCAAGTCTCACATCCATACAACAAAACAGCCCGTACTGTGGCTTGATACACACGTCCCTTCAGATTCAAAGATAAACCATTCTGACGCCATAGGTGTCTCAAGTTAGCAAACGCGGCCCGGGCCTTGCAGATTCGTGCATTCACCTCATCTGTCACACTACAATCAGAACTAATACAACTTCCAAGATACGTAAAACGCTCCACAACTTACAGTACCTCCCCCTGGACTGTAAGGGAGTATACGATTAGAGTTCGATCCCATCTAGTCTTGTATTAGCACTTTGCAGTCATGAAGCGCATGCCAAATCGTGAGGCATAATTAGCTAGATTATTTAATTTAGTTTGCATTACCACGACGTCAGATCCAGAAGTAGCAATGTCGTCTGCGTACTCGATATATGTGAGCGAATGACCCGGGAGCACTTCGACCCCACAGGCATTACAGACTGATAGTGAGTCTTCCATAATCGCATCACCGACGAAGTTGAAGAGGAAGGCTGAAAGAAAACAGCCGTGTCTGACACCACGTGATGTAGTGAACTCGGGCGAGGGCTACGCTTCACAAGTCCGCGGGAGTTGACGTACAGCGCCCTATGGAAAGTCAAGTATTTATGGAGGACACCCTTGCTCCACAGATACTGATATATTGCCGGACGGTCCCCAAAGTCAAAGACAGCTCTCAAATCAATTGAATTGTATTGGTTACCGGACACTAGCATAGCCTTTGCCCCAAATAATCTTTCCCATATTGTAACTATCGGAAATAATGTGGCTACTTGTTGACCTGTCAGTTCCAAGCGCTGGATAGGTACTGTGTTATGCGTGGATAATTCCTATAACGACTGATTCTAATATTCGGTATATTCAGCGATGCAGCCAACCCTAACAGTTCGCAATATTTCAAAGATGAAGAGCGGCCATGGCATTGCTAGTTTCCCAATCCAAGTACATGCGAGGATGAGTTGCAAAATCTTACCCATGGATACGTACACATATTAGTCCGAGCACTTTTGAGTCTGCTCACAAAACTGGTGGTGACTGCGTAAATTGATGAATTGGCTTCTCTAAGTTTCTCAATAATTAGACACACATGTTGGGGCAAAAAATTAGACCCCGGATCCTATAACACAGTTTTGGGGGCTGAAAAGTGTCAACTGACGCAAAGTTTTCCTAGTGTTAATTTGTTGACAAATAAAACTCAACATTGTAGGAAAAAAAATAAAATGTTATCGAATGTTAGACACTACCAGAATGAACATGCGTAGAGTGTATATCAAACATAAGCATCGTGTTTTGGACGGTCCTTCAGATGACTAGTCAAAGTCGTACCGGATGTTCGTTGCGTAATGATAACTGTTTGGTTTGATATTATGAATTACTCCGGATCTTCTGATATCGAATGTAGACCGAAGACACCGTTTGGATAAACGGGAAATACTCGACAGCCAAATTTCCAAGCATAGCTCTCTTTGGTGATCGGAGCTGAGAAACTGAAACCGTTATTTCGCGGTCTTTTCGGAAGAGGCTATCATGAGTATTTTACGACTTCTTTCGCCAGTGCTTCGGTGGATGCAATCAACTATTGCTATTCAGCATGTGAGTTTACTACCTTTTTTCAAATACTTGTATGGATTCGAATTCTCGATACTCCGACACTTGTGCATTCAGTAGAGGGGATGTAATAATTATGAAGACATACGAAATAGATTTTACTTCGTTCAGAATAAAAAGAAACGACTTCGGGTGAGCTTCTGAGGAAAAACAAGGTAGACGATAACGCACGAAAACACTACCGAATTAAAGAGAGTTAAAGGGTTTGTGCATGAAACACGACGAAATCTCCACAAAAATTCTTAAATCTCCTCAAACCAACAACAATCCATAAGGAGCTCAGTGGAAAAATAGGCTTCACCCGATGAGTCGTTGCTCGAGGAGCCAGTCAGCACGTGTGACCACGTGATGTGGATCCCGTGATTGAAGGATGAGCGACATAATATCCTAACTGCGAGTCTAAGTGCGAGCTAATCACACTGCTGACCCGCCGTTCAAGGTCGAACGGTTAAGTGTTCAAACTACTAGCCAGGAGGTTGCGGATTCGAGATTCTCCAGTTTCGCGAGATGCGCGCTGCTGATGATTCCCAATAAGAATGAAACAGCCGTACAGTGCTCCCCGGCTTTTCAGCACAGATTAGCTTCACTTACAGGATCAAATTTTCACTATCAGCACACACCTCGCGGCTCTTGAGCATAGCGATCCCCTCAAAAGAAACTCCTCTGAGGGGACGTCACTCGACTGTCTACCACGGTGTACTAGACAGCCCCGACCTACTTCCGAAGGAAGGCCACCTCCAGCAGTTAAATGCTTCATTTACCCGTGAAGATTACAACTTCATGCAGTACATGTTCGGTGACTTCTGAATGTGGGGCTTTGACTCTGACTATACACGGGGGAGAAAGTAGAGGGGAATTAGGCACTGTAACTTGATGTCAGGAATAACAATATTCTCATATTTCTAACTGGTCCAAGTGTAAAAACTAGAAAATGAAACAAAGGTTCTCCAGCGCTAATATAGGTAAAAATTAACATTTATTCCGCTCGAAGTAAAGGGAGATTATTTTATACGCCGAAATATAACGAAATACCAAAAGCATTCCTATAAGTTATTCGCCAGTTTTACAGCAAAGAGACCCTTACAATTTACTTCCCAATCAAGGTAGCAGAAATTACCACATCCAACAAAGCAAAAACCATGGTGGACATCACAGCAAAACACAGTCAATACCTGCGTGAACTCGTGGTAGATCCCAACAAATGCACGGTACGTTGGGCAAAGGCCCGTGCTCAGGTGGTACTCTCGGAAGACTTATTCAAGGCCGTCGCAAAATACCAGGACTTGAGAGAAGATATTCGGAAGCACACCGAATTGCTAAGCCCAAAAGGAGAAGTATTTCAAGTAGCGAAAATTGGAGCAATGCAAGCTGCGAAACAAACCTCATCACTCCTTCCTCTTTGCCATCAAGTAAGTTCTACTGCCTAGAAGTCTGAATTACATGGGGAAAACATGGAAATTTGAGAAATTCAAGGAACATTTTTGCACGTCCACGCAACGTAAGCAATCTTGAGCGTTTGCGTGCCCGTCAGTATTATGCCAAAACGAATGTCTATTCTAATACTAAAGCTTGCGATAAGACATTGACGAATAGACGATAGGAAGAATTTTCGCAACTATCGTTTATCTCTTTTGGCACTTATTTTAAATAGGTCCCACTTACACACATATCAACAGATGTGTGGTTCGAAGATGGATCGGTTTGGATCGAGTCCACATCAAAAGCGGTTGCACAATCAACGGGCGTGGAAATGGAGGCGCTCACAAGTGTATCCGTCGCGGCTCTGTCAGTCTACGACATGCTCAAATCGTTCAAAATAGGCCGTATTGTCATTGCACAAATCGAACTTGTCGAAAAACACGGAGGAACGTCCGAAAGTTAAACCGGTACCAAGCAAGATAAGAATATCAGCGTGTATTCCAATTGCCGCTTATCCCATATGGATTTATAACACCGCATGCAACGAGTCTGTTTATTCTTCATTCATTCATTCATCCACTCTTCATTTAGAATGTCAAACTATGTACAGTCAGGAATTGACAGTAGGGTGAAGTAATAAAAAACCGAGTAGAACCTCGAACACATATTTGAAAGAGAGTGTGGACAGGATTACAGTTTCAGACGACACCTCCTCGAAATCCTTCCACACTCACCGGGGAAGCGTACCACATTCGGTCCGACGATTCCCCGTAAAGGATTTTGTTGATATCAAGCAAACAGCGGTCTGCTTCCAAATCATCGAGAATCATTGAGTGTTTTGAATCGGTCAGAATTTGTAACACATATACTGGGCATTTTCTGAATAGACGGAAATTCGGACGTGGTAGAAACCACTTAGACTCGTAATTTGTGGGCATATAAAAGTAGAAAAAAGTTCGAGTAGGAGGTGCTCCTTCCATCAACAGCTGATAAAAAGGATGTTGAACAAATGATCGAAAAAAGTCAGAGAAAATGGGCTCGCTGCGGTTGGGAGTAGACGGGCTGATGACAGCTTCATCAGTAAATGTGTCTTGAGGAGAAGAACCGACAAAATCCACCAAAAATGCGCGTTTTGGATGAGAAGGTAGTCCACCGAGTAAGATTAAACAATAATGTACCGGAAACGGCAGTTCAGACAGGTGCTGCTCCAGCTCTTGTAGAGAATCAAGGAATTTGACAACCTTATGCGCATCCGTTCCCTGTCAAAAGAAAAGCGTTACTGGATTTCATTCCCAGATACAGCCCCTACCTGACATGACCGCAAATATTCGTAGGCTGTCTTTGGTCTTTGCATTAATGTGAAGTCGGGAAATTGGCCACTTTGATAAAGAAATAGGTTGGTTAGTTTGTGAAATAGACGGAGACAATCGTTTGGTGCCAGCCCTTGATCGCCGATCGATAATCTGCAATTGGAGATCTGATGCATTGTGCCAAGCACATTCAGTATGTGTCAACCGCGTATCACAGTTAAGAGTAAGGAGTGTAGAGCTGAAAAAACAAAAGGGACATTTGTCAATGACGAAAAATAAGCGAATAGTTTAATGGTATGATTGATTGAGTTAACGGAAGATCAACCATCCTGGATGGAAGGGCCGTACGAGGCGGGAACCCAGCTGTGATTTTGATGGGATAGATTCGGGCACCACGTTTCCAGAAAGCAACGCTCAAATAAAGAGGGGTGTGGATGTCGGTTACGTCAGTCGTTGACTGATAATTCAGATCAGTCTTCGATTTTGAAAAGGCATGTCCTCGTTAATAAGCAGAATCGTAGCTGTTGAAAGCAAGAAGGCCTTCGCTGCGGAGTTGTTCATTAGAGAAACACCAACTGAACACTTAGACTATTGGACAGAAGAGCAAAACAAAACTGAATGTCCATCTTCTCCTTGAACGCGTCTTCCTAAACTTTCCTGGATATTCATTGACTGTTACTCAAAGGCAAGCAAATGCTACGAAGCGACTCTACAAATTCCGTAAGAGATCTCACTTTTCAAGAGACGCGAAGCGGATTTACGAGAAAACATACTACTCGCATGCCTCATCAGTAGTATCCACTGTTACACTGGTAGCACAAGTACCCCTATAGTGGAGCCGAATTCAAAGGGGTTCCACTGTTCCCCTGTAACCTGGACTGTGGCAGAGTGGAGCACTCGAGATTTCAGGTACCTTTGGTACAGGCCTAATGATCGGAACCCATTCCTTCGACCGTTTTACACCAAAGGGTAATCAATCGACGTGCGTTTTGCTCATTCATCTGACGCGTGAGGCACTGTAGATCTCCACACCACCGACACTGTTCACTGATATCTATACTATTCAGCGTCTAAACTCCATGCAAGATTAACCATGAACCAACCAGTATTGGGATTGGAAGGCCACTTTGGTGGATAGACACTAGATAAGCATATGCAACATATATCGGCCACCGTATTCCAGCCCTTAGTAGGGAGAACTCGGTGCGCACAAATTGCAATACCACAGGCCATTGGTCATAGAAGCAGTGACACGCAAGCAGCAGCCGATCGACTGGATCTGAGAAATCATTACGCCTGTAAACACAGACAGATAAGACCCGAACCCGAACCCGGACGCACCAACAGACTGCCACGCGCACACACAAGCCGCAGTCTCCGACATACTGCACACAACCGATGTGGTCAGCTGACCAGACCCGAAGACCGAACACCTAGAGCAAGCCAACGGGATGCCTGCAATCCCGACCAGACAAAGCCATGGAGACAATGCGAGACCGGTTTGACCACAATAGTGACCGCTCTGCGAAAGTGGACTGGCAAACTGGCTCGAATAAACTCGGAGCACGCAACACTTGGTAAATGCATTGCGCATTCCCACCCAAGGGTGGAGACCTGCTGCTATGCAGACCCCGTTCATCTACCAATTTGACCATGCTCAAACTCACCAGCTAAATCCACAGAGCTCACAGGTGAACTCTACCCGTTTACCTCCGAAAGGTTTCACGCACTGTTTACTCTCTCTTCTAAATACTTTTCAAATTTCCCTCACGGTACTTGTTCGCTATCAGACTCGTGCAATTATTTGACCTTGGATGAAGTATATCACCCCCTTTGGACTGAATTCGCAAACAATTCGAACCCAAGATCTACACAGAAAGGTTTATTATTTCTCCCTTCCCATCCCGACGGCCCTTTCACCGTCTTTGGGTCATGCTAGCATTACCGTATTTAATACTGGACTTGGAATGGAGCAGCAGCTCCGCCGGATGACCTGAACACCAAAACGCCTAGTGACCAATTGGCCACAGGCTTGGCTGCTGAGTTTTTTTCTGTTCACTCGACGTTACCAATATGATCCTTGTTAGTTCGGCGGGTAATCACGTCTGATCCGAGGTCAGGAAAGTTGTTAAGCACCAAAGTGCAAAACCGATTTGCATCGAATGCATTGCCACTACTGGAGCCTCAACTAAAGACGAAGGACCAGTCGAGATTACTGGTCTCGGCGATATTCATTAGACATTTGACAGTATATAGTTCGGAGAAGTGAGAAGAGACAGGTCACAGAGTTCACCCAACTGACCTGAGCATTCATATCTTTCGTAGGAATGAAAACGTCAGTCTTGTTTTCGAGAAATACACTCATTTGCAAATCAATTTGGTTTTGACGGGAGACTCAATTGAATCTCTCGTTTATGATGTTTTTCTTAACGTCAGATCTGCACAAAGAGTACACGTCCCAATCATTGTAATTGATGAAGCGTGAGTAGCCCATGCATGTGAAATAGTTCTTTCTTCCAGATGCATACGGCGTTCCCCAACATTCCTAATCCGATGTCCACTCCAGACTCGACCAACGATCCGGAGAAACCGATGGTTTCTGTACATCCTCTGTGCATAGTGTCCATGTTTCTGATCCGCGATGCAGTATGAACCGCAACACAGCAGTATACTCTGTTCTCGACAAACAAACTGACACCAAGTCGAGGCAAAAGCTGCGCTGGCCTTCCCGGTTCGAGAAGTGATCTTGCCTTCAGTCAGTTCACCGGAACATATAAAACAACTCAGGTAAATAAACAAATCTACCACGTCGATTGGCTGGTCTGCAGATGAGATTTTGGCAGCGGCTTACATGTCGTAGGTGTGAAGCACATACCAAATGGTGCGGCAGTGTTATCTAGGTACTTTAAAATAAGCTGCATATCTGAAGGATCTAAAGAGATAATATCATCCTCATACTCACCGGCTGTGAGCATTTCGAAATTCGAGGCTCCAGAGACAGGCTGAAGTCTTAAGCAGCACGTCAAAAACAGAGTTGAGGAGGACTGGTAATGGATGGTAGCCTCGCCTAAAACCAGATGAAGGTCTGCTGTGTATCCGTACGCCCCACTAGAGTAAGCTAGTGGTGCTAATGACCGTCATATACGACAACAACACAGCCTTCAAATTGAGAAAGTGACCATCGCTGGAAGCTTGAAAGAATAGCGCTGTTCGAGAAATTTTCTCAAAGTGAAGACAGTCAATGCTTGCTCTATCAGGTAGAATTCCTTCCCGATCCTGACGAATGTCTGTTAAGGTCATACTCCTGAAGATGATCCCAGAATACCCGGAACCTGCTGAGACTCTCAAACTCCACTAAACACCGATCAGAGAGCTTGGAGCAAGGTCTAATGACCGTCATATACGACAACAACACAGCCTTCAAATTGAGAAAGTGACCATCGCTGGAAGCTTGAAAGAATAGCGCTGTTCGAGAAATTTTCTCAAAGTGAAGACAGTCAATGCTTGCTCTATCAGGTAGAATTCCTTCCCGATCCTGACGAATGTCTGTTAAGGTCATACTCCTGAAGATGATCCCAGAATACCCGGAACCTGCTGAGACTCTCAAACTCCACTAAACACCGATCAGAGAGCTTCGGAGCAAGGTCACTATATGACCCGGGGCCATTGTCCTTTCGCACATGCTTGTTTGCAAATAAAGCTGTTATATTCCTTATCGCTGAATCATTTTCTGCCACCAAGCCACTGAACCGGAGGCAGCAGTCAGGTATAACAATGTTTCCTTCCAGTGATAGATTAACCTGCGCAAAATTGAATAATAGCGGGAACAATGGATCCCCGACTACCTGGCTGACAACATTATAGTTTCTGCATGACCCCTTGCGCTCTTTTTGAAAACTGACATTACGGTTGAAGCGCTCCGTACCGTAGGTACTGCTTCCGCTCCAAATCAGGACTACTGGTATTAGACTGCGATTTAGCTGAAACACGAAATCATGCGTTGATTAACATCCAGGCACAATACCCAGCTTCAACCAGACCATCCTCCGCCAAACAACAATCTCCACCGCATACTTTACTACAGAACACTGATCCTCGAGTTTTAAAGCGTTTGAAAAGGATAAAACGGTTTATTTTCGACAATTTCCTGTCAATATGAACTTACTGACTTCGGTTCGCAAAAAGGACCCGTAGCCTTTCGACGTCCACGTCCGGAAAAGCGAGTCGGACAAGCACTCATCTACCAAGTCCAAGGTTGGCCATCTCTCTGCTTCCGTCACTATGTATTGGGAAAGCACAACAGTACACTTCGGCATACGCAATACGTGGCCTAACCAACACAGCTTGTCTTAAATGTAAGTCCCCGCTGCACAATCGAATACTCCCTTTCCAACTGCCTCGTTAAGGATCATCCGACACCAACCCACACGAGCTATGGTACTGAAACAACGGTTGTCGAAAACCTGAAGATGCGTCAGTTCCGATGCTCGGCCAGGCCAAGTCTCATAACCACACAACACAGCTCGGACTGTAGCCTAATACCCACGTCAACTGAGGTTTAGGGATATGACGCTTTGAAGTCATAGGTGTCTCAAATTAGCAAAAGCGAACCGAGCTTTCGAAACACGTGCATTGACCTCAACTGTCACACTACAATTAGAACGAATACAATTTCCAATATATGTAAAACAACCCACAACTTCGAGTTCCTTTCGCTAAATGCCCAGAAGCACAACTTCACACTTTATGGATGGAAAACCGGATGACTTTAGTCAGTTCATCCAAAAAGACCTATTCCTCCGTCTCCTCTTCGAAGAGAACGACGATAGTGGAGCAGTTGGAAGAGACTATAGAAGATTATTATGATAAATTCGTCTAACTTCCGGATGTGCCCGTTTCTCAGTTGCTAAGCTATTTGTCCACACCATACGGGGCCCTGGGAAACGAAACGAGAAGCCAAAGAGCACATTCGATGCCACAGCTACCAGGCTGATGCAACCGTGGTTATCACACAGCATCCGCACACCATTTTTGAAGATAGGAGTAACTGTCGACATGCCCCATCATGCAGACACCTTCTCTTCGTTCCATATCGCACCGAAAAGCTTGGACGGACGGGTCATCAGGTACTGTTCGCCTTCTTTGAAGAAGGATGGATACAGACCGTCCGGTCCTGGTGCATTCTCAAGTTCCAGTACGGATATTTCTTACTTTATTTCTTCCGACGGACAATAAAGGTGTATATCCCATTAGCCCGTAGACACTATATCCACAAGCGGTGTTGCAGAAGGCCAGCTGAACTGTTCTTCGAAGTGTTCGGCCAATCTTTCCAGTAGATGTTTTTGCGAGTGAACTAATGAGCCATCATTTTCACTCGTCGTTTTACAGACCGTTGCTTTCCTGGGGCCAGTTGACCATTTCAGTTGATGTACGGTACGGCTGTTTCCCGTAGTAAAAGCGTTTTCCATCTCCCGAGCTTTCAAGGTCCACCAGATCTCCCGGTCTTGCTTTACATTCTTCATTATTTGGCGTTTGAGGGATTTGCGTGCATCATCATATTCGTTGCCTGCCAGTATGAATTTCCTGGTATCAAACACGACTAGCGGTCTCGACGATATTTAGTGATCATTTGGTCGTACCACCAGCACAGTATTGGTTTACTGTAGATGGTCAATGAGTTATGGTAGTTCCTCGAAAATAGTGAATTATATGCTTCCNGATGGTCAATGAGTTATGGTAGTTCCTCGAAAATAGTGAATTCATATGCTTCCTGCTGATTCTCTAGGGCCTGAAGGGAAGCTAACTGTCAGGCATGCACGCACCATGGGACGATCGGAATCAAGTGGAAGGAACGGCAGCCTTGAGCTGTGGCCATCCACCGGTGACTGATGCCCACGTGATACAACCGGGTCCATGGTTGATTTGTAGCTGGAGGTCGCTAGGTTGGGCGATGCGAGTGTTTATGCTGAAAGCTCGCATTGGCTAGAAACAGTTCATGATCAGCACAGAAGTATGGGAGTCGCTCTCTGCTGTCTGCGCGACGAGTATCGACTTCAAATCGACTGCCCAGAAGTGATTCCAGGGAGCTCAGAAGACCAGCTTGAGTATCATATCGCACGCAAGGATCACAACGTCAGTGCTCCTTGTATGACAAATGGGGCTGGATAACTCCCAATTGAAATTATCTTTCTCAACATCAGAACTGCAGTCAGTTGGGGCATAAGCCAACACTACGAAGAGACACCGCTTTTTATGTCAAGGCACTGAGCTTGATTTAGCTGGATAACTCATTGGCGCAAAGATGACTATTCACTGGGACCCAATGCAGTAAAGCGCGTTCAACTCTGGGGCTGGGTACAACTACCACGGCATATATTCCACGGGTCATCGCTTCCGGATCACCGAACACACCGATAGAGGAAGGTAAAAGAGATGAACTCGTCCTTAGTGTTCCAAGATGCAGAACCACGCTTAGGGACACAGCAATCATCGATTTTACAGGAGTAAAAGGTTTCGGCAAGCATTACCTGTTTGGCGATTTCACATAGAGTACGAACGTTAAATGTTCCCACTTAAAAAGGGGTTGTTTCGTTCATTGTTACTAGGCAGCGGGGTGCTTAAGGCAGCATTTGCTTGTCAGGCAGCATTGGGTTAGGCAGGGATATCGGTGGACACAGAACGGTGCACGCAAATGCTACTTCCCGGTTGCCCAGGCCGCGGAAGGGGGTTTGGTTGATGTATCCCAAATTAAGCCTTTTGCGCGAAGATATGGCCCGAGACAGTGGGGAGATGCAGGACTTCGTTAGGGGACCCTGCCCGTAGCCTCAGACCAAATGTCTGATCCGCGAAGCGGCGGGGGCCCTTCCCGAAGCCGATGACGCAATAGTCTGACCTGCTCCGTTGCAGGGAGCTGGCCTAACCGAAGGAAAGCAAGAAGTAAGGCATTACGGTATCACTCCTGATGCGGCTGCGCGTAGCAGGTGCCTTTTGAGTAGCGCCGGACTTTTGGATTTTAAGCATTTTGACCATAATGAATAGTGCGTCGGCGGTCACCGTCAACCGTCCGGCGATCGGAACGTGCGGTTTTGGCGGTCGACCTTTTCGAACCCGTCCTTCGTTGGGGGAATGCAGCACGATTGCTCGTAAAATGGGGTCTCGCTGCTCTTGGTCTGACCGCTCCCCTTTGGTCTTCCTGGCATGGTTGCACCTTGTAGGACGAAGTTCCAGCCAGTGTACCCTGCATGATCATTGCAACACTCAAGTCCAACCACCATGTCAAGGTGGGAGCCTTATGTCGGGCCGGAAGTGAGTGGAAAGTGATGGGGCAGTTAGCCCAACCACTGTGCTCACAGCTTGAATTTTTTTCTGATAGACGGCATACATCAGTGTCAAGCGAGTCCAGTGTGACAGCAAGAGTTGCCTGTTTTCCTGATTGCTTCAGATTGTGGACATTAAACGCAGCCAGGCAGACTGGGCGTCGAGGACTGAAGATTGATTTCGAGATGCCTGAAGATGTCTGCGCAGGATGACGCGCGGACGCTGCTGCCTAAACAGGCGCATGACGAACGGAGTCATCAGTTTCAAGTAATGGGCCTACAAAGAGAGAATTATTGATGAGGGATGGGGAATAAGAAGCATGTGAAAGAGAAACAAAGGAGGCTTCAGCAGTAGCCCGTTTTCGCCTACCCATCCTGCTGTATGCAGCTAGTAAGACGACGCGGTTAATGGCAACACGTACCAGCCGATGTACGTGTACAGTACATGAAAGTATTGTTAATTGGTTGGGATAGTGCCAGAGCGACCAAACCTAGACAAAAAACGACTGGGGTCCTCGATCAAAGCCTTCGACTTAAAAGACTGATCGCAATACAGCGGGAAATGCCGGTGCATTAATTCTGTCCAAAGAACGAGTCGCCACATGTTCTAACCCCGAACCTGGGGGAATAAAAAACTGTGTTGGTCAGACCTCTACCCATGGACTAACCTGGTATAAGTGAGTCTGTGAATTTCGCGTGGGCACCCCTAGTATAGCTCATTGAATCACGGAAGCACACAAACCATCACACCACGGTAAGATCTAGACTCTCGTGATGGTTCAAATGAACCAAACGCGATGCAGCTGTCGATAAGGTTCCCTTGGAGGACCTTTCCAGAAGCGAGCCACTCAAGAGTCTGGCCAACTTGGGTACGGAGGACGAGCCAAACCTAATCCACAGGAATTAAGGCATGGGTGTCCGACTCCTGCTGCTGCTGCTGTTGCTATGTATAAAAGATGTGTTTGGGGCCTCACCAGGCTCCTGTTAAGACCTCGGGGTGTGTCTAGGTTAGATCCACAGGCGACCGGAGATCGTAGTTTTCAAGATGACTGTTTCTAAACCGTCCCTCCTTGAGGGAAGGCAACATTACGCCCAGTGATTCTACGCTCTTCTGTCGCATAGACAGTGTAATTTTCTCTTCAAACCACCTCGTAATAGTATTACTTGCAGTACAAAGTCGCACTGCTTCTCTTTGACCTTTGCTACAGGATTGAAGCCTGAGCAAAGGCGTTCCAGCCTGCAGGATTATTGCAAAGTCCAAGCTGGATCGCCACACCAAAGCGGACGCGCTTGATAGAATTAGTAAAAATACACGCACTACGTTAGCAAAAACGCTTTATGCACTGTGGTCTGGCATCTAGAAATGTGATTAGTTGTCATGCCGACATCGGCAAGCAGTAAAATGACAATAAAATAAGTCACTTGAAAGGTGAAAACCGGGTGACGGCAGACAAACAAGGAGACAAAACTAACAGATCCCAGGTTTTCGTGGGCCACCGGACGGAATGTTCTGATAGGCGGTTTAACCGCCAGAGTACAGGAATATCTAATGCGCCAGAGTTCGATTTCTCGGGTTCACCACATTACGCAAGCGTGGAAAATTCTGCCTGTTCTGACGATATAACTAAAGTGCATCCAACGAATTCGGCCGGCAACATACTCACTTCGTGTACGAGGTCCCGAGTTCAAATCCCAGAAAGGCCAATGAAATTAACTAATGACCAGAGCAAATTAGAAGGAAAAGCAAGTCCAGTGCCTCACCCTTCTTGAAGGTTCATCAAAATAGTTGCACTGGGACAAATGAGCATTTAACGAGTGATGTGCACGCAACTAAAAAAGATGGGCGTACCGAAAAATCAGAACTCAGAAATGTTCCGAAAATCCATATTGTTTAACTGCCAGGGAAATCTGGATGATGTTGCCTTCGTTTCGTTCGATGTCCTGCAAACACCTGACAGACGGCCATTACCGATAGTGATTAACTGCTCACCCGAAACAGCACAAAAATTTACAGCTACTCGAATGAAAGGAAGTAGAATATTTCACTGCTACCACGCAGTCCACCAAACCGGATGAAGATGACAATTCCGCCTCCATTTCATATGCGTTGATGAAACACGTTAGGTGCTCGATAAGTGAAACAGTCTAACTTTTCGTTCACCTTAGTGATGCATTCTGAAACCTACCAGGCACATTCACCTGACCGTTCAACAGCAGGATAACACAGAAGCAGTGGTAGCTGAATTCACGCGGCAGCGTCGCCAGGAAAGCCGCAGAGGACGAATACACCAACGAACACTTTCCCTACAGACCCAATAGCCCTCNCTCACCCACCCCTTGAGCAGTAACAAAACCGCGGGACGAGAAACATAAGCAAACTAACCGCTGCCGACTGTCAACCAGATGGCAAACATATGAACTCCCAAAAAACGGCTAAGTACCCACCAACGTAAAAAAAAACAAACTGCAATCATAACCAAATCATAAAAATTACACCCTGAGGAAGGACGGGGAGCAACACCAGAAAAATCCGGATCCCAAAACACACGGAAGCGAAACAGAATATAAAGCCACCATTGAATTAATACCAACCAGAGCCAACAGAAAAACAGCCACCGAAATACACGCAGCAAGGCCAAGAACAACCCAAAAATAAGAAAAAATCAAGCAAACGCCGAAAAACATCCATTTCCATGAAACCACCAAATAAAAAGAAGACAACAATAATGGCTGAAAACACG